GAATAGAAAATGATGGCGAAGCAGATAAGGTTAAGAAGCTCAGCGATGGATGTGATAGAGCAGTCTACCAATATACCGGAATCAAACATCAGTAGAATAATCACACTCGAAGCACTCTTCCGCGAAATCCGGGTGTTGCAGAGCGGCTAGACATTCAAAATGCTGAAGGTGGTTGTTGACAGTTTCTAAGGCTACAGGAGTCTAAGGTAATCTAGACCTCAAGCAAAAGTAACTGACCGATGCAAGAGGCCCAAGAACGTTGGATATGCTAGACAGAGTGGACGTGGAAAATAATCTCGGAGAATGTTGACTCGCTTAGACTTGGAGCGTAAACCAAGCGGGAGTGAACATGCCACACCGAATCCTTCTCAAGTCAATGACCGATCTTGCAAGATTAGTCCAGGTGGCACAAAAATGTTATAAAGATGTGACAAGGCGGGAGAAGAAGCCATCGAGGTCAAAGGGAAGCACAGAAAAGAAGATAAGTTTAAATACTTCTATAAAACCTCCATAAAGCAGTATTTGGGCGATTAAACTCTTAAAAGTAAAAAGAAGACTAGGAAGTATATGAGGATACTTGCTCTTATACGCGACTGTCATGAAGTTTTAAGCATTATTTACAGAGCGTGTGAGAATTTGCGAAAGTAAAATTAAAAGTTATGAGTTCCGGTGTGCATTCAAAATTCAAAGCGAGATTCGAGCTATTCAAAAGACGATTTTATAAGAAACTAACCGAAGAAGAGCCACAGTGTAGATGCAGAAGAAATCAGAAATTTTTTGAGCCACGACATAGATTTAGGAAATGGGAGACGATATTCGACATAATGAATAGCTAGAAGAATCCGTACTAAATTATGAAGTACAGGACCCCTTCTCATTTGAAGCGGACTTTGGGAAAGTTACCTATTTGTACAGTTGAAAGGCGGCCTCATCGATGGAATCTATAACTTTTTTATCAATAAGACCACCTCTTTGGATCCAGATCTAAAGAAAATAATAAGGTGGGTTTACCTGGATGGGAGGAACAGGACTCATGGTTTCACAGAGGAATTCTGATTCCAAAACGTAGACAAAGGCAACTTCAGGCCAATAACTTGTATAACCTCTACAAGTTGACAACGAAATATGTAAAACGTGTCATGCATTTGGATATTGCCTCAATGACACTACTTGCAAAAAATCAATCAGAAAATGTTGGTCAGGTTCAAGGTGCAAAAGAGCAGGCAGCGTTGAATCTAGCGGAGAGCATGGAAACTAACTATACGCTAAACAGCTCGACTTTTGCTTTTCTAAGTTCCAAGTGTTTTTGTAAATATCTCGTCCAATTTATCAGGACGGTAGCAGTTTTAAAGTAGGAAAACGCTGAAAGCTTAACAGAAAGAGAGATATACCGAGATAGAATAGAAATCCCACCATGCAAAGATACAAGATGCAAACGGATAAAATCTCGTCTATAGCTGATTCAGCAATGTGACTACGATACGGAAGTATCGCAAACGAGACGAGACGAGACGAAGTACTGTCACCTTTGAGGAAGGAAATATATTTGGAGTTGAGAAAAGTATACTAACATTATAAGGAACATATGAAGGCGGTGAACTATCTGATAACACTGTGTGAGAAAATGCTCTATCATGACTGTATTGAAAGACGTAGTGAGATGCTGTAATGTTCCATTTAGAACTTTGCAAAAGTGTGGTCTGAAAGCATTTCCACACATGCGAAGCCTTTCCTTTAGTTCAGGAGGTCATCACGAATGAGAACGTGCAAATTAGAACTAACATGCACGTTAGAACCGCTCTAAAGGTAAGTATGAGCTGGATATTCTAGTGTAAAACAAATGCGTGATGAAGGTAATCTTAAGATGGCACGCAAGGCGAAAATAATGAAATTCCATGAACTTAATGCGAAGCAAATAGGTATATCTGATCACGTCGTGGCATATATCCAGACTATAATGTTCAAGCAGACACTTGAAAGCATCTCATTCAATTAACTCCATGGATTCGACGAAGATTAAACAACGGAGACTAGTTACAGTAGAATTGAGCGCGAGACGAGTGCAGTGATAGTGCCGAAATCAGATCCAGTGCCAGTATCAATAATACAATACTAGATTAAATTTATTATAAGAGTGAAATGTAACATATTAACTTTTGGGTACTGCAAATTTTTTTGATGAGACGAAAGTGAGCTCATATAATTGAAAAACTGAAAGATTGTCCTTATAAATTACTGAACCTTCTGATTCAGATGATGGATATGCGAAATGCCCAAACTGTGGTGAAGCGCTTGCAGAAGTCGAAAAAGTTGACGATGACATTGAAGCTACAGGATATATTGAAGTAAAAGTTTCAATATATTTCTAGCACAAATTTATTCACTATTGTGAATAAATCTGTGCTAGAAATTTTGCTGAATTATTGATCATAATTAAGTCTAGAATATTAGTTTTAAATATCGTTATATTATAAGCATAAATCAGAACTATTCAATGCATCCTGTAATCGTAGAAAAGAAATACTTGAATTTCAATTTTTACTCTGAATATTTCATTTATCTGACTTATAAAATTTAACCGAATCAGCGATTATATTTGCATTTTTTGCAAGCATACATGATACTATTGTGAATAAATTTGTGCTAGAAATTTTACCGAATTATTGACCATAATTAAGTCTAGAGTATTAGTTTTAAAGGTAGTTAAGACAGATGACCGAAGTGTAGCTCGAGAGCTTGGCGTTGCTACGTTTCCAGCATTAGTTTACTTCAGACGTAAAAATCCTATCACGTATGACGGTATGGTTTTCTAAAAGAAGTTCTTATAATTTATTTTACGATTTGATGTTCTTGAAACATCAAATTCGGAGTAATAAGAAAAACAGTGTCGTCAGCAGTTTACTAGAAATTACTTTTCATTGATCTATGCTATCACTCTCTTACACTAGCATGTAATAATAGGATCTTGCTTTTCCATAAGTTATATTTCTAATAAGTAATAATCTATAATGTAGTCATTTTTTATTCAGGAGATTTTAAAGATTCTGAGATCATATTACGGTGGGTAAGATCACATGATGAAGTAGTAACATGGGATCTTACGGATGATAACTTTGAAGATCGAACAGATAGCTATTCTCCAGATGAAGGAGCATTGGATTGGTTCGTCATGTTGTAAGCTAATTATTCAAGAAATTATTTTAAAGAATTTTTTGAAAAATTGATTTTTGCCAGTACTTCCAATCAGTACTTTTTCCTGCTACGTTTCACATTTCACACATTTTCAATTCGTTTAATTGATTCGTTTCAACAGCTACAACTCGGAAGAACCAGACTGTAATGCATTTGTATCATCTTGGGAAACTGTGGCTCACAAGTGAGTAATATTTCTATAAGTTCCATAGTATCTAAAATTCAATTATATTGCAACAATAATTGGAATTTTGTGAAAAAAAAACATTGTAGATTGCGAGGTTTGATTAATGTTGGCAAAGTAGATATGTCCACAAACGATGATGTTACAGACCGTTTCCGCTTGGACGATGCACAATGCCCTACTTTTTTTCTGTAAATTATTGATTGTAACTTATGGTGGAATCAAGTTTCTAATTCATTTTAGCAATTAGTACTTAATGTGAGAAATTTTTAGGCTATTTGTTCTGTTGTAAATTACAGCATCTCTAATTCGTTTTAATAAGATCAATACTCATAGTACTTTAAAACTATTTTAAGTTTCCATCGTGGAAAAATGTACCGATACAAAGATGCCGCCAAAACAGTCAAAAGCTTAACGGCATTTGCTATGTATAAATTTAAGGATTTACGTGGGCATCATGTCCCAGAACCACCAACAGCTCTTGAAAATTTTTACGAACACGTAAAAGAACGCGTTGCAGATATTTTGGTTTGGTTTTTTGTTGATTTACATTTTTCAATAAGTTCTAGAAATATCTGTAAATTAGTTAGCTTTTCAACTTATGTTAAAGCTATTACATACCCGTAGTTAAAAGTCTAAGACTTTTTCACATTGCTGTCAAAAATGAATACTTATTGTAGCTCCCTCAATATTTGCGGGCGATAAAGAACCAAATTCTGACATGACTTTAAAATAATGCAGAATGATAGCATCGAAGAAGTAGACCTTTTAAACAAAATTAAAACTAACTAAATTATAATTCATTACTTTTCGGTCAGCAGTAATGGAAATTACCCATATTTTAAAAAGGAAGTCAAGTTATAAATAAATGATTTCACTTGTTAATTTGAACTCAAGAAATTTTATAAATCAGTCAACAGTGAATGACAAATTTTACTTTCTGATATAACTGACATGATTTTTTTCTACTTCCGCTTGCAGAGTCTTACATTCTTTCACGTCACTAATCTATACTGTTTTCTTTTTGTCATACAACGTGTAACGTAGTAGTTGTTTTAGGATGATAGTCAAGCGCTAACTGTAATCGGAATCGGTGGATTAATTATAATTGTTACTACTACAATTTATGCAAATGCCAGGAGGAAGCAGCAACTAGCAGAGAGCGATAGTAAATCTAAGATTAATTGATAAACTATTTAAATTGTCTTTTGTAAATTTTCAGTAGTCAAAGAAATTAAGCGAAAAAAATTAGGGATATTAATTGTACAAAATAACGGGAGATACGATTGGAATAAAAAGAGGAAAGAATTTTTCAATGCTATTTTGATAACTTTAGATGAAGATCGAAAGTTAATCAGCTGTAATTTATCAAAACTCTAGTCTTTTAAAGTAGAACTACAATTACTTTGATAAAAGAGCAACTAGACTCGTCAAAACTCAGCAACATCTGAACTAAAATGAAACCATACTTTCAAAAAACAACTTTAAAATGCGTTGTACAATTACGATGAATTTGCCAATTTTCAGTGAATCCTAACCACCAAATTCATGATTTTACTTGCAGAGCGTAACCATGAAAACTATTGGAAAAATATTGTTTAAATGTAGTTACTTGAGATTAGCTATAGGATTGAGCAGGTGTGTACCTTTTTATATACTTTTAAGTAAAGCAAATCTTTTCCCATAGCTGATATTTTTTTGACATTTTTGCTTTGAAAAGTGATTATTTTGTATGAAAAAGTTATTATTTACCTATCATGAATATAAATCTCACTTGAGATTAAAAACCAGAAGTATATCTTAGTACTCGTACTTCTAACCAACTATGATTCGCAGTTCAAAGGCTACTTCAACTGAAGGTGTTTGTTTAAGTGAATAATAACTTACCTAATTTGAACTTCACTTCGTGAGCATCTGAAATCTGTCGCTTGGATTATAAGACGATCAAACCAAAAACTAAATATGCATTATTTTCATTTCCAACATCACGTGTAATAAAAACAATCACTGAGAAATCCGAATAATTTTATTAATGACTAGACACTGACTCTATAATGAGTAACACTTGCTTAATGCTTGTTCCCAGGTCTTTTTTCATTTCTCTTCTTTCTTCATCATTCTAAGTGCAAAATAAGAGCACGATATGTTGTAATAATATGTTATCATCACTAATTCTGCTAAGTCTTAACCTAGAAACAATTCTTTGAGTTCAAATTTACGACCACTGAAGAGTATATTACTTTCACATTTCATTTCAAATGTTTTTGAGCATTCTTCAAATCTTTAACCAAAATTTAGTGAGATAACTTTATTCTACTACATTACAGATATTGACAAAAAATAGAAAACTGCACTATCTGCACAAAGACTACTAAAGATTAGTTTCTTCATAAAACTTGCTTCCTAATCATAATTAATAATAAAATATCAATTTACCAACGAATCTTTAATTGGGACCATTAGTTCAAGAAAATGTTATGATCTCAACAAATATGGTTTCTGGATTTAATTAATAAGTCAAAATAAGGCCCATTAATCTAATCAATCCAAAACATAGTAAAACATAGGCTCAGAAAGTCAATTAATCTATGAAATGTTTTTTTTTCCACTTCTAGAAAAAACATTTTTTCTATAAACTGTAGCAACGAAGCAAGCTCGAGGTTGAAGATCAGTAAGTTTTGAATTTAAAAAACCCAAATCTACGCAACGAAATCACTTTGATTATTAAACTTTTTTACCTAAACATACGTAATTATACCACACTCACAAAATTACTATACTTTCATTTGAGAATATGTAACTAAAAAAATTAATTACAAAGATTGCAAATGCTTTATTCTCATCTTTTAAATAAAGCTCATATCATGATTTATTTAATAGAATAACACTGAGAGTAAAAAACTGCCGAAATCTAACTGGAACAATATTCAAAAATAAATCGAAGTCAAAAAAGACTTTATAATCATACTATTCTTTATAGTAATTAGAATTCAAAATGGTATCAGTATAGAGCTAGAATAATATAACAGTAACTGACAAAGTATTATGCATCACTAAAGTAAAAAAGACTAAAGTATCCGTATCTCTCTGAAATATCGAGTTGCTCTTTATCGAAATATTTGAAACTTAGTAGCTAAGACTTTCGTTAATATAAACGATCACTGTGGTTTAGTTCTCTTAGTTTAGTGGCAATTTATTATTGAGGAACAGTTAAATACAAGGTGAATGAGCTGCCAAAGTTTCGAGCAAATAGCGAACTACTGTAACTTTTGAATACTGTGACAAAAGTTTTGAAAGTCTTTTCCAATTTCCAACGTTAGCAGCCAGCACGCAACATAAATTCTGAAATACTGGAGAATGCATCAAAATTGTCAAGACAAGAAACGTAGAAAATAAAAGTTTCTATACTTCTGCTCACTTTTTGAGATTTCGATGATGTTAGATGTTCCAACCACTTTTCTCCAACATCTTTCCACGTATTGAAACCGAGCTAAACAACGATAAAATTAAAGCATTATATAACTATCGAAGTACAAAATACACCGGAAAGATGTTTTCATTGTAGGCTAAACATCCTCGATTTTTACAAATACTAAACTTACTAATGCCATAAAACGCTTATTTTAATAAATTCCTCCTGATTGTGCTTGATAAATATTTTCTTATGCAAATAATACTATTGGTAAACAAATAAAGACATATTTTGAAGCATTATTGAATTAAGAAATGTAATATCCTAAAAAAATGAAATTTGTAGATTAATCCCGTGTAACATGCATTTTAAAAAATACAATCCAACAATTTATAAACTTTTTGGTGCTGTCCCATAATAAGCGTAATGTGATATAAGTTTGCTTTTATTCCTATGTAATTTGTAACCTTTGCAAGATAGAAACTTTTGCTCCACAAACCGTGCGACTGTAAATAACGGAAGGCATCATCATAATGTCCAATTAAAAATAGCATCTGTACTCCATCTAAAAAACTGTTCTGTGCAAAATGTTATCATTAATCGATAGTCTGTAGCTGAATTCACAAAAAATTCACTTCATATTTTGATAATGAAGAAAGCTCAGTCACCTGTCATACATTCATTTGCGATCAGATTTGTTGCAACCAATTTAATGATGCTTTGAGCTCCTTCTGAAGAAACATCTGAAGCAAGAAGGCAAGCACGCAAAGCACAAGTGCGACAGTCTTCTCTTGATCCCAGCAACAACTGCATTGCCCAGTCTCGCTTAAAAGTCGGTCTGTTGAAATGCCAAAAGAGCAAATCACAAAATTAAATAAATATCATATAAATCCTAAAAAGATATTGCAAAAACAACTAACTTTCTGTAAAATAATGGCGTACTGAACCAAAATGTCAGTTTGTGAAGAGCTCAAATCCTGTAAATTCATCATACACGCAAGAATTTGAGAAGCTCGTCGCTGAAACCAATGTTCTTTAAAATAATGCTTAAGTGAAAATATGATTGGTGCTATAAAATATAAAATATTAGTAATGAATTGTCCTTGCAAAATACTTGTAAATACGATGGTTTCCAGAACAACTGCAGTCGTGATGAGAGAGGCGTATGTTGAATTGAAGATATTACTACCGACCACAGATCATATAACCATCGTTCGCCATAAAGTCGATGAACTAATGGATATATATGAAAGGTACCATTATCAGGCGAATTCCTCATAATCACTCTCAAAAGTTCATGCAAGAAAATAACTGCTTTGTCATCGTTCAAAACCTCTGTTAACAACTGGGAGGAGCTAACTTCCAGTAAAAGAGGAGATTCTGTAAAACAGAGCAAATTTGAGGAAGCGCTGATAGCAATAATGAACATAATAATATAGATAGTAGGGAAATAATTTCCAATCATCAACACTATTATTAATAAGCAGCAAAGAAGAACTAAACTTCCACAATAAATCATAAGTTTCAACCTGATGAACGACGAACTTCAGAAGAAATAAGCGACAGGTGACGGAAAGAATTATCCGAACTAACTATTAGGGGACAAAGACCACATAAATCAATATCCAAAAAAGAAAGGGATGTGCAATTATTACTGTACTGCTAAAAATTATCCCAACTGATTAATTACTTTTCTGCAAATCGCAATAATTCATTTTAAAAATTAATGAAAGAGCATTGGATAAAACCTCAAATTCATAAGCAAAGCACACTGTATTTTAGATCTTATATCAGCAATAATTCTTTTCGAATTGAGCAACTAAAAAATAGTTCAATCAAGCAAAATAGTATGACTATATGTCATAGCAGTAAAAGTTCATTATTCTAGTCAAAATACATCTTTTAAGAATATTACCTTAGATTTCAAAGCTAATAACAATTCAAAACTAAAATGAAATGCTCCTCTAAATTTTTCGCTTAAAACTACCGCACCTGTAACACGACGAGTTCTTCAGAATTCCATAAAACAACGGAATGCTGGTGCAAAACCGCAAGAGTATAATCACCAGAAATGTGTGAAAAAACAAGTTTCAAAATCGGTCCTCGTACAGAACCTCGTGTTTGCTGACAGTGTCTTCGACCCAAATCCCATACACCCAAGCGGCCCGATGTATCACCCATTGCTAGGAGATCGTCTTTCCACACCAGGCACTTCACAGCTGCACCACTCTTCCACTTTAAAATTACACTATTTTAATGAAACTGTAAATCATAAAATATTCAAAATTGTACTTGACTGATTAAATAAATTTTCAAATATCTAAGAACAATTATCAAATATACAGATACAAAAAATTAAATTCTCGAAAATTTTCATGTGACCAGTGAAATTCTATGTCATCAAGCAATTATGAGGGACTAAATTTCATACTTGTGAATTGACTTCTTTACCATCTCTCACGTGCAAACCTTTCACAACCACGTGATATAGATGACACTCTTCATCTAAAACAACTAAATTTTCTCGAAATACCGGTTGACCTTCTTTTCCAATATGTTTTGCTGCATGATGTTTTCCTGACCAAGCCTAGAAATTTAAATTATATTTAAGATAAATTAGTTCTGAACACAAGCAACAAGATTAAATTACCATGTCAACAATAATGGGACATGTTCGAGACATCCTTCGTAAAAGTCGCATAGACTTCAAATGCCAAATTTCTAACGGTTCACTACGAAAACCGATGGCAATGTAAGAACTAAAAAAAATTCTCTTAATTGTATAATGTTTCAAGTTTTAGATATTCATAAAAAGATGTGTATAGAAACAATAAATACATTAATAAATATCACGGTTTTTCTTCAGTTAAGCATTATGTATAGTAATTAATAGAAGCATCTCGAACAAAAAGCAAGTAAATATGTGCGAAAAAATAAATAAATAAATAATAAAACTCATATGATTATTATGGGAGCAATCTTGAGGAAGGCCTTCTTGCTCGAAAAATGTGGTGACATTAAGAGTAATGAATCAACTTACTGATAAAACGATACCCGCAACATCTCTACTGGTGTTTCCTCTACTTCTGGTCGCAATCTCCTACTTTCACCTATACAAAAATACTGCTTTCAGATATCATATAAAACCAACAATTGTGATGTTTAGAAATACCTTACCTGTACGAATATCAGTCACAAAAATGTCATTCTTGACAAGTGATGAACTCAAAGAATGAACATGTGCTGCTGAAATAAGCTTATGCGGTCCACCCCAATCTAAACACCTGCAATACACTATTATTTTTTTAAGTATTGATAAAGTCTTAAAATGTAGCACAAACATGAATAAAGATTGGATACATCCCCTGCAGTTTCAGATTATTTAAAACAAAGAATTACTCTGTGAATGTTAACTATAATAGATGCGAACTTGACTGGACAAGTATGAATATGAAGTTCTCGAAAAATTATTCCTGCTGGAACTTCCACCAAACGTACAATTCCTTGATTACTACCAACTGCAGCGAGGTTTCGCATTTTATGAAGTCCCTCTTCAAAAACAGATTGCATAGGTTGCATTCGTACAGTTGTCGCTCCATGACCCAATGAAAATATCTGGGCAATATTCGACATTCTGAATTCAAAACTGCATTTAAAATGAAATAAGATAACTAGTAAAAACCGATATAAATAATGCTTACTTTAAACAACCAACTGCAGTGCAAAATAAATTTTCATCATAGCTGAAAATATCGGTAATATATGAAGCCCGATATGGCATTAACATAGGTTCTTCTTTCAAACCCTACAAATAAACTTGGACTTTTTTCTAAATAAAGTTCAGTATTTTTTTACTGAAAGCAAGTAACGTCTTCGGAAGTAAATTAACGAAATGACAATTTGTCCAAGACATCAACAAACAAAAGTGAGCTAACCAGTTGATATAAAGAAATATTTCCTGAGCTATACAACAGCGCAATAGTTGTTTGTGTGACAGGACATAATGCCACGGCAACGATGCGATGGAGAAGGTTTTGCCGCTGTGTTTCGCCAGAAAATAATAGTTCATAGTGCAATGACGTTTTGCCTTTTTCGTCTTTTGTGATTTTCCCTGCTCTCCATGCAATAGTTCCGTTTGAATGTGCGGTGACAATAATATCGCGTTCGCTAATGCTCATCAAACGCAATATCGATGAATCAAAAACGTAACGCCAAATAACACAGAGACATTCCATTTCCACACATGCAATCTAAATTAATAATTTTCCCTAATATATCAAACATTAATCAGAGTTAAGAAAATGAAAAATCTCTATTAAAACAAATTAGGCATAATCAATCCTTTGAGCCACGTTTTTCTTTGTATTCAAAAATAATTTAAAATAAAAACACAACTTCATTAATTCAAATGCAGTAGAAAGCACAAATGAAAAATGAAACCTCATTTTGTGTGTATGCAAAAACAAGATGAGGAAAAGCGTTGCTATATACAACTTGTGTAATAGGCACTGTAACAGACGCCATGTTGAATATCTTTAAGAGCAAAAATTTTTTTGATGGTGCTTTATGAAGCTCAACATCGTTTATGAGCAGAATGGAACCATCAGTTACCCCAACTATAATAAAAAAATAATCAGGACTCCAATATATTGCAAATGATTTTTTCTTTTCTGATAACTTAAAAAAAGCATCAAGAGGTGACAAGAAATTCGTTATTAGAAATATTTTAGTGAGATGAAATAGTCTATTATTATGACTGCAAAACAAACTTTACTAACATGTTATATTGCTCCAGTAGAATGGATCGACTGAAAAACTACTTAAAGCTGGTGCATATATCACATTCCAAATGCGATGACCAGTCACTGTGTTCCACAAAATCAGATTACTAGGAGAGTGCAAAACTAGAAGAAAATCACGACTTGCATCTCCCCAAAGGAACCAACAAAGGTCTGAAATTCCTCGTATACTATTTCTCTGTAGTGAAACAAGTAAGAAAACTAGATGATATTCGAAACATTACACAAAATAACATAGGTTCTCTTATAATGAAGCATTCAAGACAAAATTTGTCCAGACGTCAAATAAAAATGAAAAATAATTTGCGATTTCAATTAAACAATTAGAATTTCTGAAAAGAGAAATCTTACCCAACACCGTACTATTCTCACTAGAAAAACACGATTGTTCAACACCTTCCGATATATCCCACACAACTACAACACCACTTGTATCAGCAGATGCACAAAGCATTCGTACTTCGACTGGAAGACCAACTTCATCTTCAGGAGAACAACATATCTGAAAACGAAAACAGTAAATTATAGAATTCAATAATCACAAATTTTTAAATCATAAATAAGCATAACATATACATTCCAACGTATTTTCATTTGCTACTAAGATCATTCTAATAAACCAACATATTCCAAAATAAGAAAATAAAAAATAAATATATTATCAAACTCAGATGATGATAGAAAATTCAGTATACATACTAAAATGAGAAACAAAAAATTTACACGTGTAATGGTTGCTGTGTGTCGCTGAAGAGTATGAATAATTTTCATACGAAGAACATCAATTACAACAACTGTACAGTGCGATGCGTATACAAGTAGACTTTTTTCATTCCTACAAATAGCCACAACTTTTATATCGTTATGCAGCGATATAATTTTCACAAATTTGAAGCTATACCTAATATCAACAACATTTCTCGGATTTTAGAAATATATTTTATTTTCTTGGATGTCTTCTCATTCTGAATTTCATCAGCTACTTATAACTGTCAGTTTATAAATATTTTACTGACCTCCGCAACAAAAAATGACGAACATTTTATAGTTACCATTACTATCAATTCAAAAATCCTGCAGTCTGATGATCATTACACAATAATTTCTTGAAACTTTGAAAAATTTAATGAAATCTCTAAATAAGAAAAATATATTCATCTTACATTATTTCAGTAAACGAAAAAGGAATTTGAGAGATTAACTCGTTGCAATGCCAAATTGCATCTTAGGTTAGTATAAGGAGCTATTTTTTATTAAGCTAAATGTTCTCTCTTTTCTGTGAATCTACAAATATGATTTAAAATCTTAGTAGAGCATTATGACCCCGATATCCGAAGCAATGATAAACCAAACAGTTGTACTCGCGAAATAATAAAAGAGTCTAAATTAAGATAGAATGCAATAAATCCATCTAGATAACCAAAAGAGGCAAAATTATTGTTGGTATTACTTCATGCTTTTAAAAGCAATTAATTTTGACCTAATGCAAACAGAATATAAAATTTACATATGCTTAATGCAAAAACTGATGTGATAACAATTATAACAGTCTAACCATGATAAAACATCCTTATTATTGGGATGCAGTGAACCAGGTATTGTTATAGAAAACATTTTCTCTGTATATCACATGTATATCAATTTTGCATAGTTTCCTTCTAATCAAGAAGAACAAATCGGATATATTTCGCTAGTTTTACCATAAAGCAACTGAAATAAGAAGAAAGATTAATGAAAGCGACTATCTGCAAACAATAAAATATAAAAATGTACTTTAAAGCAGCTACCTATTGCATACTCATCCCAGAAGTGATATCTGAGCACACGAAACGTCAACTGTTTTTTACTATAAAATACATATCGTGGCATCAGAAACACTGAAACAATACCAAGTAACCTGAAATGCAGTAAAATGTATAAAAAATAAAAAGAAAATAATAATTCTGCAATGAACGCAGTTATTCTACCTCCAACATTAGAACAAGCAGACAAAATTTGTAAATCGTTCGCTGCCAACTAGCAACAACCGTACGAGAAATTATACAAACTATTCCACATCAATGATAAAAATCGTCAGGTTAGTTTACCGTTAAACAGCAAACAATTCCAATATAAAATAACGTCGACTGTAGATTATATCTTTTTACTATCATATCACCAGAATCTTGCGAATAAAACTGCACTGAGATTAAATATCGCAACAAAATTGAAAGCGATAAACAAACTTAATAGTGAAAATCTGCGACTACACAAAAGGAATTATCTTAACTTGTAATGTTTGTTATTTAGAATCATGACTCTTACACCAAAAAAGTCTCATTTGATAGCTAAATGAGGTGATCAGGTTCCATTGGTGGTAGTAGAAAACTATAAATTTAATATCTTTGAGGCATGGCTTCCCAGTATCGGCAGGATATGCCACCTCCTGGTGGATATGCTAACAGAATTAGACAAAATTTGCTGTACTGAATTAGACAAAATTTGAGGCAGAAAAATTCAAAAATTATTCAAATATATGACATGAAGCAAAGACTACAATGAAGCGAAACCGACACTGAAAAAAGAAGTTTCTTCTTGCATCTTCCTTCTATAAACTTGTAGCAAATTACAAAAATGAACAATACAAAGTTTCTCGTTAAAAGCTGAAGCAACCACTACTTTGACTTCACATTCACAACATACGGCACAGCTAAACAACCGGCCTAAATTCTTTCACTCACTCTTCTCTTACAGAATAATTAATATGTATTCTAAAACAATCAGTTCTTCTGAACACTACATCACTGTTGCTGTTTTCTGCATAGGCGTCGAGTATTTCAGGTGAATTGATAATTTTTGAAATTAATCAATAATACACCTTATCACATGACATGTTCTGAAATGGTAAGAGTTATGAATGCAAAAAATAATTTTTAGTGAGCTCAACAACCACTTGCGTTATCAACAGAGATACATGAAATAAAAATCATTTACTTTTAACTTTCTTAATATCAGTTTTCAAATATGAGTGGGATCAAGTGTTTCACTATCATGCTATTATTTCTTAGTGCCAGCTATAAAAAATTTCTGTACATATGTAAGTACTGTGAATGTGTGGTGTATAGTTGCACTTAAATGTCAACATCAGAGCACGAAAGTTTGACACGTTTTTTAGAAATATTACAAAAGTTTACGGACGCATTTAACAAATTCAGAGACGTAAAAGAGTTTTAAGTGTTGAATTCATCTTAACGTTATCTGTAGGAATCTATTCCGTCATCTTTAGTCTTTTTAATGACTTGAAATTAAGGATGATAGCAAATTTGTCGAGGAAAGTGAATTTCTGTGTCCTTTTTCGTACTGTTTAATTTTTTTCGCCCATTTCAAACATTTTAATTATCTTAACTTGTAATGTTTGTTATTTAGAATCATAACTCTTACACCAAAAAAGTCTCATTTGATAGCTAAATGAGGTGATCAGGTTCCATTGGTGGTAGTAGAAAACTATAAATTTAATATCTTTGAGGCATGGCTTCCCAGTATCGGCAGGATATGCCACCTCCTGGTGGATATGCTAAATTCAATTGGTCCCGCACTTATCCTAAAGTTCTTTTGAAAGGTGAAATATTCTATTGAATGAGCTTTTTTTTTTTTTTTTGCTTTTTGTTCATTTAAAGTTTTTAAAATCAGTATAAGTATTTTATCTAAAGTTAATTATGTGGTTCCAAACCTTAAAGGGTAATGGTAACTTCATTAATCCAGAAGTCTGTTGAATGCTGGCGTTTTAATAAAGTACGTAAATGTACTGCATGCAATTTTTATTAGTTAGAAATATGCATGCATCCGAGGACCTAACATCAGTTCTTGTTCTTTTTTTACAGCTGAAAAGCTCTTGGGTGGCGTTGCTTTTTTGGCTATATATGGTATTTTTCAAGCTCGGGCTATTAAGCGTGCTATTCTGTAAGTTTGACTTATTTGCTATCAGTTTATTTCTTTAGCTTGTGTCATGTGAAAAGTTGGAACTTTTGTAATCCAAAGATTTACCTGCCTGAACCATTAAAATTGTTAGGTTCACTTCGTGTGTTGAAAAATTTTGAACCTACCGTTAGTATGTTACTAGTCGTATTTAACTATTTGTCTACTACGTACGTTTTGTTTTGTACTTTTTATTTTCGAATCTGTGAAGATTTTTTTAATACTTCAATTAATTAGTCGTTATGTAAGAAAATCTTCATATGTTTGCAGAACCGAACGATTTGAAGACAAGGACTTGTATATTGCTATGACACCATTTCTGTATGCTGAAAGAGATCGCAGGTTGCATTATTGCATTAAAATATGTGCTGATGTATTAATGATTTCAAGTAAAATTCTGTCCAGACAATAGTTAATAGCTTGTATCTCATGCATTTATTCTCTGAGTAATCAAAGGTTTGAGAACATTCTCAGATCTAATCATGTGGTTAACTCTTGGACTAGATTCAGATTTGCAGATTTTATAAGGTTGCAAATCACATCAGTAAGTTATTTTAAGTTAGCACTGCAAATCCTTCCGATTATTCAATAATCATGTCACATTATAATGCACGAGTTGCAATGAAAACTTGAATCATCCCTGGATATATGCAATGTTTTGAAGTAGTCGTTCATGTACTTCATATTCGCTTCCTGTATAGATATTCTGCCTGCAGAAGTTTTATGCGAAGTCTAATGATTAGTACCCTCTGTAAACTAGGGGCAGTTTCGCTGGAATGTTCTTTTGCGATATAAATCAGTACAATACAGTGGTTTTGTAGCATTTAATAAATCTTGTTTTTTTGACTGGTATGTGTGGAAGTATTCATTTAAAAAGTGACGTTTCCAGATGGTTAAAGCTTTTGAAAAAAAACCGCGAGAATGAAATCAAATTAGCTGAAATCAGTGGTGATAAAGCATGGAGAGTTGGAACTTGGTATGGTGAGCCAGTATATTTCACATTGCAAGATCGTTGGTGGGATCCGTCATCTCATGTAAGTTTTTGTAGTCTGAAACTAAATTATGGCAAGAATGGTTCATTTTATCAGTACCACACGATTTAGCAAATTCTTATACAGACTGATGTCACAGTGAAGTTTAAGTATATCGACATAAGTGGAATCAGTCTATATCATTGTCGTCAGGGTTTACATTCATGGTTAGAAGTTATTGCATCCTAGGCCTTATTTCATTATACTTTTACTCACCTCTGTCTTGAACACTCAAATTATATGTAGAACCTGTGATAGGCAAAATTCTTCTTGCAGGAAGTATATGCTCATTCTCCTAAAAACAACCTATACGAAGATTTGGAATTCGTTCATCGTGCTGATCATGTTTAGTTAAGAGAATTGTATATATTAAAGAATGGCAATAGGAATATTTTAGTTTACGACTTGTAATTATCTCACCATTGCAACTAGAAATAAACTTTTAAGTAATTTGACCAGTTTTTTTCACAGACACATCGTCACAAAAGAGAGAACTTATTTTAATAAAGTATCCACTAATCTGCATCGTGTATTTTTAAAAACTTATCAGTAGATAGAAAATGATTTTTCTGATCGTTAAATTGAAGTCACATGCACAGCATCATATTTAGTTTGTGGTGTTTGGTTGTCATTGCAGTTTGTATGATATATTGTGATATCATTGTAAGAAATTTGCATTATTATTATTTCCGGCAGAAATTCTTTTATGTAATTTAAAACCAAATGGCAACATGAAAGCCAGAAAAGCAACTTTATTTTTTCAACATAAGCTCGTCAAAAGTTGCATCAGAAATGTTTAAGCTACGGCTAGAAATAAATTCCTAATTAATTTGGTCAGTTTTTTACATAGATATATTGTTACAAAAATAAAACGTAAGCAGCCTCTACTAAATGTAAATTCATGACAAGTTCATAGGCCACTTGAAGTTTGATAAAAAGGAAGTGCTTCTGTAACTGAGGGCGTCGGATTGTGCATGTCTGTGTTCAGATCAAAACAAATGTTCCAGTAAGATGAATTTTGCAATCATTTCGCTGATTATTAGGAAATGCGTTTGTATGAAACAAGAATACAACTAATTAGATCTATTTCTTCATACTTATCGAATATCCACCTCCTGGTTGCTGAGTTAGCTGGAAATTATCTGTTGACAAACCAAACGGTCTCAAGCACATGTTACCGAGATCTTTCAACTTTGACATCATCTCCTGAAATGCAGTTACATCGTTGCAGCATTGTAATTTACGTAAATGTATATTTGGAAATAGGTATTCCATGAATCCGAACTACTAAGAGGATTTATTTAGGTACTTCTAAAAGTTATGGTCTCATCGACTATACGCAAAATGACGTTGCTCTGTATTAATAAACCGGAAAACGAAAATCTCAGAAAAATTATTTAGAACTTCCTTACTATCAAGTTTAAAGATGCAAACTTGGATATGATCCATTTACTAACATCCTAATACGAAATTAATGCACTTTGAGATTAGTATCGCAAAAATGGGAGATGAATTATTGTTATTTCATCTAATTTTGAATTATTAAAAGAATTTGGGATCACAAAATTATTTCATTTTCTTTCTAAAAAGAGAAACTGAAAGTAATTCGTACTTTTTTCATTCTTTCGTTTCGTTCATCAACTGACCGTTTCAAAGAGTTAATTTTATCTTCATAGATATTCTTTTTTCCTGGATACAGTTTCAGCAAGGATTGGTAGTCTTCAATAGCTTGCTCATATTTCTCTTCTTGCTGAGCATAACAGTAAGCACGTCTTTCTAAAGGCTTATCATTCAGTGCGCCTAAAATACGTTTCATCTCATAATACTTTCCACTCTAAAGTTTTGTACCTGCTTGAAACCAAAGAAAAATAACAATCTACCGATTTCCAATGCTTGACTACAATCGCTGATAGCCCTCTCCCAATCTTTAAGTTTTATATAAGCAGCAGCTCGATTACTAAGATATGTAGCTCTGAAAAAATCAGCCTGCTTTATCATTATTTAGAAGTCAGATTTATTTACCTTATTTGTCTTGATAAAGCGTCTAATAACATTAAAGTACAACAACATTAGTTTCAAGTAGAAAAAATTGATCGAAAATGAGCATCTCTCATTAGAGTATGAAATTCAAAACTGCGAAAACACTTGAAAATACACTGGATTCTAGTTCGAAAAATCATACCTATCAGACGTATAAATTAATGGACAAATATCCAACGACTTTGTGTAAAACTGAGTTGCTTCCTGCCAAAATCCTCGGGCGAATTGATCGTTTCCCTTAAAAACAGCAAAATAAATTTCTCTAAATCGTTGCACATATATAATGGAAATCCAAGATGTCTTTGAAATAATTTGTTAAAAATTAGAGATTTCAACTTCATTCTTCAGATTCATAGATTGTTCGCGAAGATTTCTTAGCTCTTCTTCAGAGAAGCTTGCTTCTCGTTCACGGCGCTTTAGCAATTCTTTTTTTTCATCGGAAATTTCTTTTTGTTCTTTACTTTTTTCCAAAACATCTTTACCTACAATTCTATAAGTTTGAAAACAAGACTTTACCTAATTCTTTACGAAACAAAAGTTTTTTTCTGAAAAACAAATTCACAGAAAAATTTCTACCATGTTTTAGGTGATTAGTCCCTGAAAAACCGAGATGATATAATACTAATTCCAACAAAACACATAGTTTAAACTCGTACCTTTTCCACTTGAGGAATGATCATCGTCATCAAGAGTTTCTTGCACCACCCCACCATCAATATCTACTCTATCACTTTCTGTTCCACTAGCTTTTTCGGTTGAGTCAAATGATATCAAATCACTCATTTTATTACTCGTTTCTCCCATTATCAACAATACTCTAAACTATCCTATAAAAATTACTACTGGTGCATTCCTGCAGGTAAATGATGTCATTACTGGTAAATAATAATATTATCATTTGCTTAACAATTACCTACAAAAGTTATCAATCTCTGTTCAAAATGAAATCTTCAACGGTAACAAATCACACCTCATTCTTACCACTTATTCCCATCATTCAGTATTATAAGTTTCATATATTTCTACGACATTACGTTCAACAAAAATGTAAAGCAATTAATTAATCATGAAGGAACATTTAGTTTAAAAATAAATCAGTTTTTAATTGGATAATACCACACATGAAACAAAATACTTTTTATCGCTTTTAAAATAATTTTATTGCAACTCTAAGTTAGAAAATACATCATAATAACATGGATCAATACACTTTTTATGAACAAAAACTGTGAAAACATGGAAAATCCAAATTAATAAGTACAAACTTCAAATATTTCCCATGACGAAACAAGTATAGATTCTGAGATATTCAGTTTTTATTTTGAGCAATAACTCGCTTTTGTTACTTAATTGACCAATTCAATGAAACAAAAAATTATGACCAAATTTGGTAAACTAAATCAACACTCAAAACAATCCTTCGATAAAATTCAACATAAATCTCTTAAATTTCTCCTTCATGTATAAATTATGTTCTCAAAGATCATTTTCGAAAGTAATTAGTCGCCGTTTGATATCATTCTTTATTTCAGCTCTTCTACTTACTTTTGTTTCACACTGTGCTAAACCGTTCACTATTGATTGAGATTCGAACAATGTGCTTCGTAATTTATCTACACAATCAGCCATATTTAACTGCTCAGAATAAGTTCGGCATGATTCAATCACCAATTGACCATTTCTGAAAATAAACTTCAACTTTCGACCTAACAGCTTTTTTGTTTCATTGAATTGGCTATTAATCATTTCAACTAAATCAAATGAGACAAAAAATATTTTTTAATTTTGTGAGACAATGAAAGAGGAAAATGGCATACAAATTTACATTATGTGCACTCAGTTGAAGTGCATCCTTAGCCTCTCTAATTTCAGCATTGCTCATATTTTGCATTTTTGGAAAACTACATATAAAACTGAATTAGGCTTCTTACATCATAAATGGTTTCAAACAAATAAATATCTATGCAGTGAATCATTCTGTTCTTCAAAGAAATATTCAGAGTTCTTATAAAAACCCAAGTTCTTAGCACAAAACATTGCTTTTATAATCTAAGAGGGAATTTTCGATTAAAAATAGAATATAATGTTCTAATTGAAGACACTACATCTTAAATCATTGGAATTTTAGGATACCGATCAATCCTGTGCGAATAGCGAGCCCTGAGACTATCGGCCACTTGAGATGGAATCCAATCACAGTCCAAAGGAACTCGAAGCTCAACTTGAGGTGCCTTGTGGTCATCCCGAAATGCAACAGTTTTATTGAGACTTTTTAGTGAGATAATTCCATCAAAGCTAGCCACAGAAAGATGACGAAAAAAATCCCGTCCCATCAATTGAAAATGCATTACTGAAATGAGAATATGCATTCCTAACTAATGGAAAACAACAGCGCAATCCATAACATCCTATCCTATCATTTGTCCAAAACTTCTTACGACATGACTTGAAGTGAAAAGTAGCTTGCAATATTCCAATGCTAATCACTAGTGTGTTTCAAAAATTTTCGCGGAATGGTTTATAAATCAATCACTTACAAATGAAAACGATTTTGAATTAAATGGTACACATTTTTCAACTAACTGTAACAAAATATCAAAAGTAAATCTAGCGTTTAATTAAATATTACGCTTAGCATAAAGGTGACAATAAACAAAGAAGACTAGCGAAACACACCACAATAAGAGAAGTTGTACAATTTATCATTAATGAACATTATAGTGGTCCAGCAACAAAATTTCCAAGCAAATTAATACAAATAGATGCCGAGAAATGAGGAACAAAGTGCCTACATCAATACACATATTTTAGTGGTACTGACACAGAACCCAGGAAATACAAGAGGGAGTCTTGTATCTTGATCAGTACTGAAAACCGATAACAAATGCAGCGATAATTTCTATGAGGAAATATGATGAAAATATCGTAAACATAGTAAGATTAACTACAAGGACAATTGAATAAATTTCGATAACAATTTGACGGAAATAAAAAATTATGTACAAATTTTCACCGAATAATATCAATCTATCATAGCATTAAAAATGTAATGCATACTAGAAATAGGAAATTATAAGTCAAAGTTAACAATTTCCGAATCAACACAAGCCACTGTTAATTTAAATCCGGAAAAATTATGTCATAGACTTGATCATAATGTGACACAAAATGTACTTCTACGTCATTGCGGATAAAATCTGGCAAATCTGAGTAATCTTTCCTATTTTCTTCTGGTAATATAATGCAACTAACACCAGCTCTTTTCGCCTGAAAGATGGAATGTTTACTGGTAAACTTTAAGAATTAACGTCAAGGACATTTCAAACAATCTTTAAGTGAAAGCAATAAACATGCTTAAACTTTCCATGAGCTCTTTACACAATGAGATTTTTGAAATATTTTTAAAAATCTTTATACCGCAATGATTTTTTCTTTGATCCCACCAACGGGTAATATTCTTCCAGTGAGAGAAATTTCACCCGTCATTGCAACATTTTGTCGAGCACACTGATTCAAAGCCAATGATAATAAGGCAGAAGTAATGGTACATCCTGCAGATGGACCATCCTTGGGTGTTGCACCCTGGAAAAAAAATTAAGAAACGATTCTTAATTAAGTTCGAAACAGAAGAAACAAGACTAACCTCAGGAACATGCACATGAATGTGAGCTCTATCCAAAAAATCATTATCGGGAAATTTGGATCTAAGGATATTCTTGGCAACAGTGTATGCAATCCGCATACTTTCTTTCATAACGTCTCCTAAATGCCCAGTTGTTTCCAAACTTCCGACTGAAGCGTTTTCATCAGATTTCGATCGACTGAAAGAATCATTTGAAAATCCGCTGTCACTGCTTGGACTTCGTGAAAAAATTGTGCCAGAAATCTCCAAACTGCGTCGCAAGCATGCTTCAATATACAGTGCTGATCCTCCTAAAACGTATGCACAAAAATTCAGCTTTCATTTAATCAAAAAAATAAAAATTTCAATGCACTGTTTTGCATCAGCATTTACCTTTACTACTGATTTGATTAAATTTGGCAGATCAGACGATTATTCAGAATCTAAACTTGATTCCTTCATAACTTAAAAAATGACAAATTTACCCATCGCTGTCCATGCGAGACCCATAACAACGCCAACAGGCGTTATGTCGTATAAGCGATCGCTTATAAATTTGGGTCTTCCAACAAAATCTTCAATGTTTTGGCTATCAACAACTATCTGATCAAGTTTCTCATCTTTTAACCCAACAATTTTGAAAGCTGCTTTACGAAATATCTGAAACTCATAAGTTATCTATGATGCTCGTCGTAATAAAGAGATAACCGACCGCCAGCCACGTACTATGGTGATAAAAACTAGAAAATGGCCACAAAATATGTCAAAATTCTCCAGGGAACAAATGTATATTTACTTTTTCGATATGCTTCTGAAGATTTCGAACACCCGATTCTCTGCAGTAATGTTTGATAAGCACTTGTAACGCTTCAGAAGATATCTGAAGCTGATGTTCTTCTAATGAACTGAAATAAAAGCTAGCATCAAAAATGTATCACAATAAGAATAGTTAAAGACTTTTTTGCAAATGTTTAAAATGATCAATAGGAATTTAAAAGTGTATTTTTGGATTTATAATTTTCAAATTATAAAATCGAAATTGAATTGTATGCAATGGATCCTACAGCTCATATTAACTGAAATTATGCCAAGCATTTGGTAAGAATTAAATCTACCTATCTTTGCGACACTGAGGTATCAGATAGCTCTGAGCGATATTTATTTTTTCTTCTGCTACATAACCTGAAACTTCAATCATCTCCATTCGATCTTTCAGTGGACCAGGTATAGTATCCGTTACATTCGCAGTGCAAATGAATAGAACCTGCAAGTAACTGATAGAGTTTAGTTTTCTAATATAGAATTATCTGGTTACATAAAGCATTGTTTATAAAATGATGAAACAAACTTTGGACAAATCGACAGGAACATCAAGAAAATGATCATTAAAATTTGCATTTTGCTCTGGATCTAGCAATTCCAGCAGTGCTGATGAGGGATCTCCATGATAACTTGCACTGCCTATTTTATCAACTTCATCTATCAAGACCAACGGATTCTCAGTTTGTACCTTAAAAACACAACAAACAAATCATTGGATTTATCAAGTATTATAGTGATGATTGCACAAAAAACTCTTTTAAAATTTTAGAATAATCTAAAAACCTTTTTTAAACACTGAATCATCTTTCCAGGCATTGCTCCAACATATGTACGACGATGTCCTTTAATTTCTGCGACATCTGTCATTCCGCCAACCGAGAATCGAAAATACTAAAGATTCGATTAATATGTACATTAAAAAGCCGGTTTAAAATCTTATTTCTTCCTGATATACAATAAAATCACTTGAATCATATAAAAGCACAATAAAAATAGCAAACATAACCTCTCTATTCAATGCTCGAGCAATTGAACGTGCAATACTTGTTTTACCAGTTCCAGGAGGTCCGTGTAAGCACAAAATTTTACCACTTACTTTCTTTTTGAGTTTACCGATTGCAATGAATTCCTGAATCGAGAAATTAGTGTGCACTGACAACCAATAAAAAACCTTCTTCATTGACTATGTCTTTCATGAGAATATATCAATCCTGCCAGCCTTTCTTTGCTAAGCTTACCAAAATTCTATCCTTGACATCTTTCATTCCATAGTGATCTTCATCAAGTACCGACATTGCTCTACCTAAGTCGAGAACGTCCTCTGATGTTTTACCCCACGGCATATTCGTTAACCAATCCAAATAATTTCTATAATACAGTGTAATAAAGCAATATTTTTAGAATATATAAGCCTCATAAAACTATACAATACAGCGCTCAAACATGGTTATTTGCATCAAAAAGTACCTTGTGACTGAGAATTCACTAGAATGTGGATCCAAATACGACAACTTCATCTGCTCTTCTTTCATTACTTTTAAAACATATTCTGGAACTTTCAAATTTTTTATACGCTCTTGCATTTTTTCTGCAACGGCTTCTTTATCCTCTTTTTCCAGTCCAAGCTCTTTTTTGATAACTCTCAGCTGAATTTTGAAATACAGTAAATTAAAAAATCATAATATGAAATATGCATTTGATTCCGTATTTCGATTTTATGTAATGGGCACTATTAATCATTTGATTTTTATGAATCACCTCGAAAATTTCCATATTTCATTTAATACATTTCAGGAAAAACACACCTTACTCGATCAGTCTTTTTCAATTTTTAGAGACAGTTAAGAAATATAAAAAACTTCACAACACCTGTTCATTCAAAAGAAATTTGCGATGCTGATCATGAACTTTTTTTTCCACATCTTTGTTAATATCATGTTTTAATTTCGCCACAGTTTTTTCCTTTTCAATTAAAAGCAAAGCTAATTTTAAACGCTCTTCAACCTGAAAAATAAGTCACGTGATTAATAAAGTTCAACTTGAGACTGAGATGAAGAATGTGTCAAATCTACGTACAAAAAAAAAAACGCTCAGCTTTAAAATAAAATATTATAACTGACTTTTTCCTCATCCATCAAATTCTGCAAGTCAGCTGCATCAGCACTGACAAGTGAGCCAACTAAATCACAGAGATATATCGGATTGTCAACTACACTTTTTGATGGATTAGCTGTTAAGCCAAGCTGCTGCGCAAACAAAGTATTGTATTGCATTACATCACGAATTGTGCTCACAATAGCTTGCATTGTTGCCTTAAAAATTTAGTCCATATATACGCGAGTTCCGGAATTAATTCACATCCATTAACATATCTGTAGCTGTATTAAATCAGAAAACTTTACTTGATCATCACCTTAGCATACACATTTTGATCCCTATATGACTGAATTAATGTATTCTGTATCTGAATATAGTGTAGCTCTCAGCTTTCAAAGCTCAAATTCAAAAAAATAAAATAACCACTAACTAAATAAAACTGATTAAAAACAAAAGTTAGTAATCTAATTAAAAAAATATTTGTAAGACATACTTTAACTTCCGTAGTTCTTTCAACAGGCTGCGAAACAACATTTTCTGTTTTAGCGAGAGTTATCGCTGAAGAAGATGGAATTGTTGCTTGACTTCCTTTTTCCTTTTCAAATTTACGACGTTCCTGACGTGCTCTACGACCATTCACCTTTCCTATGTTCTCACTGAAAAAATGAAAAAGATATGAACTGTGAAAATCATGACGTTTAGATGATTTGACAAAAGCAATTTTTTGATGAATTTTGGCTCACAATGTCTCAACATCATCAGTCACTGGTTCAAGAATTCGTATACGCCGTTCAGCAACCAAAACAAGCTCGATTTTATCTCCATTATCGCCCATAACATTGATTTGTGCAAATGATCCTACTGAATGAAGTTCCGACAAAGAGTCGACTGTTTCAGATTCATTTCTTTAAAAAATCGTTTCAAAAATCATTATAGAACCTTGAAAGGAACGCAAACGTTCAAAACATAAATTTAATAAAGTTACAGTAAATCATTAGCTGAATTCCATCAGTTAGTAAATACGGTAAGATTCTTAAATTACAATTTCGAAACAATAACAAAAACGAAGATAGAAAATTTTTTGACATTATTAATTTTAAATAACTACCTAATCATTTTTTCTTTCTTTAAATACATTTAAATGTCTGCAAGCAATTTCCAAACTTTTTAAAAACTCATCTTTAAATTATAAAGCGGTAGCACAGAACAATCTTAACTTACTCCGGATTTTTGCGCATAAAAACTCCGACATAAGGCTGGCGCATCCTTACTTTCCTCCTAATCAGCTCTTTCAGTGATTGATCTTTACTAATCTAAATGAACAATGCTCGAGAGCAAAGAATAACATATTAGTATGCAACCAGTAGATTTTTAAAGATGAATACATTTTTAGCGTACTTTAAAAAAAATAAGTACATTAACATCAACTATACGTGATGTATTGAGAATGCTCACTCCATGATAATTCATTCAATTTCAATGAGAATGTACATTTTTGAATCAGTCAAAAAAAATGATACAACAATTGGCGTTCTCCTTTTACTAATAAACAATCATGCCGAAATACAGAGGAGCTTACAGAAAAGAGATACAAAATAATTTCTTGCAAAACCTTACAATGACCCGTGTTATAAATCCCGGAAAAAGCGGTTTTCGAGAAACTGTTATAACTGGTACAATAGGCCAAACTTCTGGAACTGTTACCGTACTCATCGGCTGCAAAATGAAATATGAATAGCAAACTTCCTGTAAGATTCTCTTGGAAGAGATTTCAATAAAATTCATCTAAACGCGAGAAAATCTATTACTCCGCTTAGTATATCTTCTACTTGCTCAACAACTGCCGTATCTCTTTCTTTATCATCTGAACTTCTGTCATCGTCGTTTTTCCCATTTTCATTGGAACTAAAAAGGAACATAATAAACAACACAGCTTATTAGTCCTGGAATGTGGTTATGAAGATAATGAAAGAAAATCAATCAATTGTCAAAATTTTCAGTCATTGAAAAGTGAATAGGAAGACCTCCAACAATGAAAAGTGCTAATCAAACTGTCATTTAATGTCATATTTCAGAGAAAACACCACATGTACCTGCTGCTATAAAGTCGTTGGGATCCAATCGTCCATGATGGATCACGAGAAAGTGTTAAAAACCGATTTGGTCCAACGCTGTACTCTTGAAATGAAGCATGGCTAAGTTGAATCGAAATATGTCTCGAAATACAAAGATTTCGAGCACTTCGTTCCAAATATCTCACACACCGAGCAGTACTATGTACTGACAAACGCATGAATATGTGCCCTGAAATAAAAACACTACTCCCTAAAATAATACCACCGCAATTCATATGACACATCCACAAAGTTCTAGAAACTTTTATTCCACCAGTAACTGCTTTCGGAAATACACTATTCCTGTCTCCACTACTACCAGATCAATCTATCTTGATCCTGATTTAAGCGTTCTAAAGCATCCATACTGGCCTTGAGCAGACAATTAACAAAGCCTCTATTACCATTTCCATTATTTTCATATGGTGCTTTTAACCCATTATCACATCTTTTGAAATAAAACATCCTGAAGCTCTCTAAGCAAAGCCAACAAGCTAATTTCTGAAGTCAAAACAAGTCACATAAAAGACGCCACTTCATTTTCTCCTTTTTTTACCCAGAAAAAAGAACCAGTGAACATTAATGTATACAACATTAGTTCTAAAGACAAATCACCCAATAAATGAACACATAAATAAACGTTGAAATACAAAACAATGAATTAAGCACTGCTTATTTATCTGATTTTTTTCTTCTCTTTTGCTGGAGTGTTCATGATTGTTGTAACTGTCTGCACTGGTTGCCACTGAAAATATAACTCCAAATATAAAAACTTGAATTAGATTAAAAACCACATAGGAAGAAAATTATAAATCTCAAGAATTTTCGTAAAAGTCGATTTCCCTCTTCGTTCAACTTGAAAACTACTCTCTAATTCACTCATGACTAGTTTAGAGACAAAAAGTTGTAGTATAATTACTCAAATTCCCCACAAATTTACTTCAAGAAGGAAACATACATGTATCGGATTTTGTCTCAAATATGGCCAAGGTGGTACAACAAGAATGCAAGATAATAAGAAGCCAAAACATAACGTGTAGACAGCATGAGATAACTGTTGAGTAATATGGCCTATAATGAAACCGATCACAGCCGTTATCACCAGTATCACCTAAAAACATTTCGATACGCATTGTTCAATATCAACTTTATTACAATTTCATTGGTAATTCATCTACTTGAAATTGAGTCTAATTCATAAGGTTAATTAATTCCTTGAAATCTGCAACTGTTAACTTCTTCGCAACGAATCATTAAACAGATTTAGAACTCTCCATATCCCTAATACTGTATTAGACGAGTTCTAATTGTGTTTAATGAAACAGAGAACATTAATAGACTCTCTGATCTTGACTGAATTTCCCATACGAATAAATTGAATGCAGGCATTAATATTAGTTAATAACCTGAAGTTTTATATTTTGTACTGTAGACCATAAATGAATAAATGACCAAAGAACAACATTATTGGAACAATAAATCAGTGAAGTCAAAAAGACAGAGCAGTAACGTTACTTCATCACTGATTACCATCAGAAACCATATAGAATTCTGTGATCACGAGAAGAAAATTGATGTCACCTGAAAAATTCGCTCCGCTTTTCGTTGCCCAACAAAATCGACATACGTTGAAAACTTCCTCATAGATGCAGGTAACATTTGTATAAAACCATCCATTTCAAATCCTGTTTTACTATTTCTCTACAAACAATAACTAATCTATTTGCTGTATATGACGAAAATGGCATCTCAAAATTGAGAAATCATATGCAAGTTTTACTTTTAAAACAAAAGTTACATGAACACCTATCAATAATGACAGTAATGAATGAAAAGCATAAAAATCAATCAGTGAATAAAAATTTTCAGAACAGATTATTAAAGTACACTTGACATATATTACAAGCAACTTACACATCCAAACTAAACATAAAAATTTAATAAACCTGGAGCCAAAGAGATCCCATATATATGTCCTCCCATTAAAACCTTGATATTAAATTGCAATGAAATTTCTTACTTTTAAAAATAGTACAGAAATCTAATTATCCCACTCAAGTAAGTTTCAGAGAAGGTCATGCATTCCATCTCATAAATACAATTACTGCCGATTGCATTTACATATAATTTTCGATGTATGAGATGGAAGATGAATTATTATTTTTATTTTACTCTCATCTTCACTGAATAATATTGTTGTCTTAGCTCATAGTCTAATACCCAAACAACTACACATTAAATGGTAATGAAACCGACCTAACGAACTCACTTTCAGATCCAAATAATGCTAGATAACATCAGCTTGAGCACAATAAACTTAATAATAAAAATAATATACTTTTCTTCAAAACATGAAGAGTGACACAAAATGCGACTCCAATTTGATTAATGGGGCAAATTCAACTTATCAGTTTGAAACGAAGCAGTTATAGAACTTTGTGAACATTCATGATTCCTGACTTGAACTTTTTCTGGTATTCACAGTCAGTATTTAAAATAAACGTGTAATTAAAAAAAAGTACTTTGAAGAACTTATGTGTTACAATTGAAAAAAAAAATTAAAAATAATTGTTGAAAAAGAAATCCGTCTATCTAAAATTAGCGCTTCTCATTAAATGTATTCTATAGAATCCCATTTTTGTTGGAAAAATGTATTTTTTTTTTTCAAATTTGGAAAGAAATTTTAGCCAACAATTTTTTGGATAATGAACTTAATTAAGATTAATTGAAATCGAATGTGCCAGCAAAAACTTCACTAGATACTGCTACTGACTTCCGACTGCACCACGATAGGTCACAGATAAATGCAATATACCACTATTATGTACTTAGTTGAACGAAGGTTTTGTGAAGAGGCTGTGCACCCGCCTAGCCGAATTTTACACAACTTGTAAAGATTATCTGTTGAAGTTTGAAATGTAAACTTCGCTCACAATCAACTGCCTATTGTTCAGACGAAGTACAGAAATGCGGTTGCTCCATGAAAATATCTGACTCTTTACATTGGTTTCTTTTTATTTGCTTCACATGCATACTAATTGCTGTGTTGTTTGGTGTCTTTTTGTTTTGTTTGTTGAAATATTTAAGTCAAAATAATGATTTTTCAAAAATTATAAAAAGCCTGAATGAGACATAACTCGCCACTTGTAATATCAATTTGGTTTCTTTATTTCATTTTATGAGAAAGATATATTTTTAGGCATTTTGTCAATTTTTATGTCGAAAAAAATTGAGGAAGGAAGTAGTGATTCAGATGATGATGATGAGGAATATCAACCAACTGATTCCGATAACGATATTGAGGAGGGCGTACAAGACGGTGATAATACCAAAAATGTCGTGCAGAAACGAATAGACTCAGAGTATGCAATTAAAATCAGGGAATAATAAAACATTTGATGAGTGAACGTTCTACAAATTCAATTTTAGAACTAATCGATTTTCACAACTGCAGAATTAAGATGTCTAAATCTGAAGATTTTTTGAATCACTAGAATTAATTAATCCTGAAATATTAGAAACTATGGATTATAAATCTATATGGTAACTTCAATCCCAATTTTTGAAATACAAAAAAGAGAACTCCTGAATAGTGCAACGCAAAGTTGGTATTTCTTATCTAACTTTAATTGTTTGTTCAGGAACATCAGTAACACAACAGAAACAGAAGATGAACGACAAAAAAGATTGGAGCTGATGTTTTGTGAGTTCATTGGTGGGGACCATGATGAGCCAAAATTGTGCAATAACATGCCTTTATCGACGTAAAATTTTGTAATCAATGAAGGATGAACAAAAAATGACTGTTTAATCTTCAAAACCTTGTTTTTTGAAAAGTTGCCCTAGGATTTTCAAATGATGTAATTGTCCACATTTGATTTTCTGAAAATTATGCATAGTTTAATACATATTAAATTAATCATTTAGGGCGTCATCTAATTCTGAGTTGGAGTCAGCAGCCGAAAAAAAAATATCAGAGTCGGTTTGTGACTCAATGGATGATATTTTTGGTCCAAAATGTGATGACAGTAATATCCTGTAGGTTTCATTTCAAGATACTGACAATGACTGATTTAACTTGGTAAATAAATGATCGTAAACGGAAAACTTAGAATGGTGTCAAGTCAGGACACGGTTCGCAAATCCCTTCTTTGTGTGGTAACTTTTTTCAAGAACAAAATTATCAGCCTCAATTTTGTTGGTTCAGTTGGAAAGTGTGCTTTTTTTTCTTATGAACTCGGTTTTTTTGCAGTTTAAATGTCGTACAGTCCTGTGATGATAGTGAGATGCAACAATCGGTACCTGTGAAAAGCAGAAAGTAAGTGCTTATGAATTGAATGAGTTTTGAATGATTAACTTTGATATCAACGGTCATTTAGGAGGAAACCCTCCACTGGTTTAGTAACTACAATAAATGCTTTGTCTAAAAAATCAAAGAGAAGTATACTGGAAACGACAGCAAAAGATTGGGGAGCTTTTAAGGTTGAAACAGGCATTCAGGTTTGTTTTCTATGTCACTTCTTATCTGGAGGATTGATTTGTCCTTTTTTATTCATTTGGTGAGTCGCGTGAGGTTCTTAAAAACCCTTTTATATTTTGTACTTTTTTTTCCGCAATTTGCAGGACGAGTTAACCACCCATAACCGTGGAAAACAAGGATACATTGACCGCATAGAATTTCTAACTCGAACGGATTATCGACAGTTTGAGATGGAACGTGCTGCTCGTGACGCTACTCGCAACAAAAAGTGATTGACAAAAATCCTTGTCTAAGCTTTATCAGTTTACAGATCTAGTTATGATCTCACGAGATTACCTAGCTTAAAAACTTGAGGCAGTTTTCTCTCAATGAATTTTTTGAATTATGCCGGTTCTCATCGATTGTTATTGCAGACAATTTTTTGTTCGTTTTCTCCCACGTGTAATTATTAGACTTTATTTTCTCTGCGGGAACATCCATTAACTGATTTTTTCTTAAGCCGTAGGAACCCCGCACTTTATCAGTACCATTTGTCTCAATTCTCATTTCCTTAATCATATTGGATTTAGTTTTCGATTTATATCCTCAAGAAAAGTCAAATTTTCGAAAACTCCCTTAGATCAAAATAATACTCTGATGCATTGTTTTCTTTGACTATAGGTGCAGTGTTGAGTTATTGAGCGAGAAATATTTTACGAACATAGCGTTCAATCCATACCAATGCGATTTAAATGCTAACTTGTTTTTGTTTATAAGTGATACATAAAGACATTAATCAGTTAGATTGTTAGATTAAAGATGTAAATGGATATAGTTTTGAGGGGATCTGGAAATACAGGAATATAATAGCATGTAATCCTGTGCTCACGTCACCAGCTTTTTGGTTTTTAACACGTTTACTAAAAAGTTGAAGAAAATAACTTTATGTGAATTTTCACATGTAAGTAAAGAAAAGACTACATAGAAATGAAGACTAATTCAAGTTATCTGCAAACTCACGATGTAGTCAGCTTTGACACATGCAAAACGAAATTTTACAAATAAAAAATATACATATATCTCAACATGCAATCAAATCAAGTGATTACCACAACAAACGTTCTTTGACATCACTCAGTGGCTATATTTCTCATTAAATTCATATCAATTCGGCTTTACGTGTGTTTCAAATTCATGACGGACAGCTGAAAAACAAAGTTGACGGAATCTTGCATGATTTCGATGATAAAGTAATGTAAGACGACACAGAAAATTTGAGTGGTAGAAAAAGATGTAAGTTTTTTCACACTTTTGGAAGCGTTTTGGTACAATGATATTTTGACAGTATGCAGAATAGAATGCACCCATTTCTCACCTTCAGTATAAACTTTGATAAGTCTGTTTCTATTTCAAATTTACAAAAAAATACGCTTCTACATTTCTGTCTAATTTTGAAACCGCTAAGCAATATAAAAAACAGTACCTTCAAATTTACTACTTATTTTTTCTGCTGATAGACCCAGCTGTTTTTCAATAGTCGTCTTATGTTTCTGTATGAATGGTTGTAAGAAACGACTGTATATTTTCTGCGCACCCATGGTCATCGGTGAGTATAAATACAACAAGAAAATGCACTGGAATAATAATTAAAGGTGATATCATTCTTTGAAGAGCAATAGCAACGGTAAGAATTAATCCGTGGTACTATGTCTTCTACATTATATTTTAGCATACATAACAACAATCGAGTTTCGAAAAGAAATATTAGGGCTCTTAAGAAACGAGGAAAAAACTTAACAATTTTTTAAAAGTTTAACAAAACAAGAAGTTATAAATACTGAGCAAATATTATATCAGACAGATAATAGTGTTTTGTAATAATGACTCCCCCTAACTTTATAAACTAATCATCGGCTTTCCTGCGCTTATTATATTTTCAAGACATACTTTACTGTCTTAGTATCAACATCCAAATATCTAAAAAGTATATGTACTTAAATTAATTCGAGAAAACTTTATCAGTGGCCTGTTCGAATTATTTACCGTTCAGTCACAGGAAGTAATAAAGAGCTTACACCACCTACGACACAACACATCAGTGGCTAATATACACCAACATAATTCAACTACGCTTTCCCAATTATTTATCAGTGATTTGTTCCCTACAAACTCACACATGATTAGATAAATAAAAGGTTTATTTGGACAAAGGAAAGATACTGATATATCGCTTTAACTTACAGAAATATTGTTCTAATAAAATAACTAATATAAAACAAGAGACAAAGGAACCCAACCTTAGCGAGCCAATAGAACGGGAAATATTTCACAAACGCATCAGAGAAAAATTCCACGATACTTAATAAAGCAAAAATCACCCAATACGTTAGCCACTGAGTATCGTCATTTTTTTGCGATGTCTCTATTGCCTTGATGCTGAAAATCAATTTGAAATCGTACATAAGTTGCATATTTTTAATGAAAACCTTAAGGTTTTTGTGCACGTTTTCTTTCTGGTTATTAATTTCTTCCAAAAATGTATAAAGAGATGAACTGGATCTGTAATTATGAAGCTAAAATTATTAAAACGAATGCTTGCTAAAGCGTAACATGCTAAATTATATCATTTCTTCAACAACTAGAAATCCTACACAAAATATCGTCAGCTTTCAGCTATTTCACATCGTTATCTACTGATATACAACTGCATGTGCAGCTGTTCATCATTTGGAATTTTTTTCAAGAAATGTCTTTTTTAATTGCTGAAAACTGTGCTAAAAAAATTTATGGAAATGAAACGCACGAAATATAAGCGGGATATATAAAGCCTATGAGATTACATAAAAGTTCAGCGAAACACCCAAATATTAGGTAAAGTGCATGGATACCAACAAAACCTGAAAATAATTGTTGTAAAGTGATGGGGAATTTTCACCAAAGAAACTGTAATTAAATAAAGTTAAAATAATGGATGTTTAATACCAAACCAGAAGACAGTTCAGATACAATTACACGACTAAAAAAACTTGCTGAAAATTTATAAACATACCAATAAGAATCAAAATCCACATCAAGAAGATCCTCAGATTATTGGAAGAAAAATTCGTTTCATTCGTCAATTTATTAAATGAATATTTTCACCAATTTTCTAGTAAAATAAACCAACCAAGAACAAGATGTGATCGCTTGATTTTTGTTTTTCTTTCAATTTGTTCCAATACTTTCGTGACAGCATTCTCCTCATGCAATTTTTTCTCGACGTCTTTCAATAACTTATCAATTGCGGGTGGAAGTGGCATTGCTGCTTTATTAATAAATAAATTACTGATTTATGCTTGTAAACTGCAAGATTTGTAGAGAAAGCAAAATTTCAGACATGCATTTGATTTCTACTAAAACAGCAAAAGTAAAAATCTATCAAAATTGGAAGTTTACCACAGAACTAAGTTACATGCAAAGCACTGTTGTAAAATAAAATCACATAGAAGTAAAATCTGTGTAATAATTTAGAGTTAAATGAATCAGCAAAATGGTTAGAAATAACGGGCACACTATGATTAAGAAAAAAGGTATAAAACTCAAAGTAATCAATTTAATCTTATTATGCAGTACCAAATGTTCTTCGCATTATTGTTCTTAGCAAAGAAAAAAAGTATAGTAATCGTTTATCAGATATTGGATAGCGGAAGCCATCCAAATAATTCATACACTATTCCGACTCCTTATGACTTATTGTTTTGTCAGTTCGTTACGACATTGAAAATTTGCCATTTTATTTTTTTTTCGCGCGTAAATTGAGACAAATTTAGCACTAGTGAAAAATTATGCTGTTTGGAATAGGAAAAGCAGCAACGTATTTTCCAACGGAAAATTGAATATGCAGAACATCCTACTCCACTTCTCACGGCTTTAATGCAGACAAAAGATATTTTCCAAGCTCGCTAACTAATAAATTATTTTAAATAATTAATGTCTACTACTAACTAGCAAACTGTTAGTCAACAACAATATACAGATAGATCAAATCAAACTAGATCTAATCAAAGCAAGAATTAATAACCAATATATAGAAAAAAACAACTAAAGTAAACAATAATTTCAAAACTCTATTAAATTAAACGAAAAAAGTAAGTTCTCCACCTTACAACACCATCGAAACAGAACCCAAATAATAACTGGCATATTGCGTAATCTAAAGTTATCTCTGACTGCACTGCTTTTATTTCAATAATATAATGGAAACTAATACTGAAATAAAAACAAGTCATGCTCTTACTTCAGCTACTAAAATGAGAATACAAAAGCGTCCGAGTCAACAAAATGAACAGCTCCTCTCTACTGCAACTACCGCTCTTTCGTCTTCCACTCTCACTATTTTCGAACTCCTTCCGATTATTGCTCTCGCGATTTCTCTGCAAATATTTAGTTGCTGCAAGTTTGAAGACATTTTTGGTAGCGTTCCAAACGAATCAGAATTTTTTAAAGTGATACTCAAATTAATAGACAGAGTTTGTTCTTATTTGAGGCAAATAAAGGAAAAGTTGTCCAGTGGAAAATACCGTTTGTTCACGCCATAACTATTTTCTTTTTTACTGAAAAACAAATGCTATGTATTCGCGAAAGTATTGTAAATGTAATAGAGTACGGCGAAATGGTTCATGTAAAGATGGAAGCTGTAAAATCACAATAGAATTACTCAAATAAATACATATATAAAAACGGCAGTAGATGCATCTGTTATGCTATAAAATTTGAAACGAACTATTAGTCTTTGCTCAAAAAATAATGATGCAAGTTCTTTATAACCGAAATACTTCTGCACAAAACAAAAACTGCTGCTGACAAGCTTGGAAAACAACAAGGCAAAGCAGAGAAGAACATTCTGCCTCAGCCAAACAATCATTTTCTTATCTGATACGAGCAATTAAGTACTTTAAGCTAACATTATCTCAGAAATTCAATCTTAATTGCTATTGCATCAAAGTTTCGTAGCACTTCAATCTCATTACTAAGTATACAATACAAAAACACAAGTGCAAAGAATGAATTTAAATAAAACAAATATTCATGAAACAAATCAAATACGTTTTTAAAGTCGTGTTTAGAACCAGCTGTCTGCAAGATCATTTGAAAAAAGCCAAGTCAATCAGTCAAATAGTAGAGTAGTTACCCGTGAGCTCCACATAACAAGCACTTACTAAGCAAATAATAAAGCATTCATCCAAGCAATCTATTAAATTCTCAATTTTTTAAACTAAAATACGAAATCGAAGACTAGTATACGAAGATTAATTCAAAATTTATACATAAACTTTTTTTTTGCTCAAATTCTAATGAAGGTAATTTCATAGCATTTATTATACTGATTAATTTTTGCTCAGAAGTGACAAATGGAATTGTTGTTCAACTAGGAAAGTCACGAAAGAACAACAAATCTAGTTTTTTTGGCACAAGCTTTCAAAATACAAAATACAGAAATCTGACCGAAATCAACTTCTACAAACATGTAATAAGCTCATAAGTCACGTTTGTCTGTACGAGGAAAATTGATTGTAAAAATTCCAGCTTGAGAAAGCGCAAGAGAACAGTTATAAGGTATATGTAAGCACGTTGCCCAACGTGCTTTCTAAAACGAAATGAAGTTTGGAAGACCAATACAATGAGTCTTGACAAAATGCAAAATCATGATGATATGCTGGGTAGAACGATGAGTGAAAAATCAACCACTCTTAGTACCACTACCTTTCTAAATCATATGCATAGCCAGAAAATCAGAGAAGTAGAAAGTAAACATCTACCAGTCATTCTATGCAGCAAAAGAATGAGAACAACGTTCAAGCCTAAAACAAAGTAACCCTTCATATTGTTGGAAAAAAAGTCCGTTGAATGACTTATGATTTAATAGTTATGAAATGTATTACGAGACAACTAACAGTTTACTTCATTACTTTTATCGTTACCAGTAATATTAAGAAAATCATGATTGAAGCTGATACTCATTCTGCAAAAAACCATAAACGTCTTAGTAGTCATTAAATAGAATTATTCTTTTCCATATATTTTATAAATACAGGCAAGATAGGAACTTAAGAACAATGATCACTATAATATGTTAAATGATATGCAAGCAGAAATGGCGAATGAAGTACGCGAAAAATAGTAATTGGTTTATAAGACACTTGGTAATATCCGTATACGCAAAAAGGAATACAGTTTATAGTTTTTGAAGTACTCTAGTTTAAGTGCTCACAAAACAATTATGTACCATAGCCCGAATAACTTTAACTTGTAGAACTTAGTGTAGCCAAATGTACATTTAAGAAAAATGTGGGGAAAAGGCACTCAGAATATTCTTCATTTATAAAATGAAATTATACAATATCTAGTAATATCTGAAAATACTGTTTTAAAACTTTAAAAGTGCTAGTAAACAGATTTGTTAAGTACGTTAAATCTGACTTCACATACTCGGAATTCCAGTCAGAATTCCTGACTGTACAGGTTAAAAGTCCCCCTTCTCATTACTTTCCATACTTACAAATGTAAGAAATTATGCAATGGAATACATGAAAATGAGGATCATATCAACCAGAAAACCGTGCAAACAAGAGAAAGATTAAGTTCGTGCGAAAACAAGTCTGCTAGAAACTAACGAATCTGGCAGTTTAAGAACAATAGACGAGTTATAACTTTTTCATGAAAGCTTCATTCCTTGTGGGACAGTATAGGAATCTGATATATTTGACTAGGAGCTTTTCATCTCATGATAACATGTTAAAAGGTATGTTTCAATCAGAGTGAAATGTTGCATTTCAGTATTTTTTGAGCATGATATGAAAATTTATGTCTCATTAAAAAGGAGAATGTAACAAGAACCACCCCATCTATTAATAAAACAATTATTTGCCGAAACTATAGAATTTCACATCAATTTTAAAAATGATATTTTCATTTAAAAAATACATTAAAAATAACGAAACCATGTTAACAAACGGTCACTGACAAATTTAAATAAACTTTCTGTCCACTATATTTTCTAAGAACTGATCAGTAAACAATCTGCAAAATAGCAACTAAGTAAATAAAATGTTCGAACCAAATATAAACATTTATTTAATGAGAGCTACAAGTTTTTCGAATTTTTTGGCGAGATGGTAGGTTTGGACAGCTTGATCAGTAGACTGCACACGGTCTAAACACATAATCACCTGCTGCATGAGTCCTTCAATATCACTTGGTGGAACTATAACAACTTCCATTTTTGATTCATGAACGTATTTGATCATGCTGAAATATTTTTAAGAAATTAGATTTCAGTGACTACTATTATTCTATTAGTGACGATCAGCACTCACTGTTTCCAATAAGTGACAATTGCCATCTCTCATCCTGAAATCACAAATATTCTCAACTTAAAAAGATGTATATTAACCGCAATCAAAAAAGAAAATGTGCTTATAATGAATAGTGTATAACAAAAAATTATGCAGCACAAATTGGAAATTATTACAAAATAAACAAGAAAGGATTTGTTTTACCAATTATCTATAGCGGACATCTTTAGGCCACGCATTATAAGATCATCATCACTTGTATCAAACCACTTCCGCACACGTGCAACAGCCACGTTAAAAAGTTCATATGGTAGAAGTTCCATACTTTCAATAACCCTTAAGATATCCTTCGCTTCACTATCAAGGCCTTTTTTGAACAAATTAATTACTTCCTGAAATGAAAAATGCAGATTTCTGTCATCACATTTTGATGCAATGAATATGGAGAACGGAAAAAATCATAACTGTTCGAACTAGATTTATTTGATATTTAAAACCGTTGTTTCCAATGGCAAAAAAAGAACTTTACATATGATTAATATAACCTTTGCTTTAATTTCATCAACATTAAGCTTCCAGTCATCAGCTAAATCATAGATGAGAAAGCGTAGGTAGCGAGTAAACTCTGGCGAACCGTTACTTTCAACACACTTTTTCAAGAACTCCATTCTTTTTTCTCGTAAACTCTCAGAAATACTTTCCAATGGAATAAGCGGATGAGTATAAAGTGATTCGAAGAATGCTCGTTCACCAACTGCATCGAAAAAATATTTTGGTCCTGGAGGCCATTCTTCCAGTGAAGCCTAAAAATTTATATATTTAATCACTAATTTGCTTGAAATGCAATCGAATTAGTTTTCCGAACAATGTGTTTTTACTGAAGAAATTCCTCATTGAAAAAATCAGATTTGTGAGAATAATGGAAGTTGACATAAATAATTTAAATATTTGAATCATACGGCAATGAGTCCTCCCATTCTGAAGCTCACTTATCTAATTCTTATTACATAATGTTTATCTTGTAAGTTGTTTTCGAAAAAAGTGCTAACCTGCAACTGGATCACCATCGCCAGATCATGATGATGACAAACCAGTGGAAAATTCACGGGCTTTTTTTGAACTGCCAGGTCACATAATGGTTTTCTAAAACTCCAAGAGGAATAATCAAACATAACTTCGAACTATAGATTTATAGTTAAAATCAATTTTCATAAACTGCATGAAGGGATTCCAATCATTAAAATCTACGTATTAAATCAACAAAATATATAAGATAGTGCAGGTAAATATGTTTTCCTGACAGGAAGCAACCAAACTGATAAGAGCTTTTGATCAAGCATAACGATTGTTGAGAGGAACTATTAATAAAATAATAAATAGTGCATGAACGGTGATTTGAATACAGATATAGGGTTAGCAAGTTTGAAAACATTGTTAACAATCTTTTGTGCCAAGCTTGACTGTTGCGGTAATTTTCAAGAAACTCATACTTTGGTTTGGCCTGTTTGCGTTGTTGAAATTCAAAAATCGCTTCGATAAAATCCTCAAACAACTTGTTTTTGATCACACTGCTTGAAGAATCTCTAATTTCAAGCGACATATCTTCAGCAAAACGAACTGACTTCCGTAACATTTCTAGGATTTTCGAACAGCATAAAGAAAAGCGCTTCTGAAACTTGTAAAAACGCAGTATTCAGGAAACTTCAGAAATTTTTGTGTTCAACATATTCCATCCTACGGTATTTAATAGATCATGATACGATGTTATTAAATGAAACAAAAAAAAAACACTGCGAGTAATTAACACATAGATGTGTGAGTTATTAAAATCGCAAACTAATATCAAAATTTCATGACAAAAGTTTATTCAAAAGATTTTTTAGTGTGAGAACAATAGTATTAATGATAATCAAAAATCTTCATACTGATTAAATACTCACAATATTAATCCGGCAGTCTTCCAATTTTTTATACTGAGAAGATTTTCGATTTAGAAAGTCATAAATATATCGAAAAGGTTGGCATAAAAATGTTTCCCATAATAAAGTACAAAGACCATGTTGTAATCGACCTGCCTGGCTGGTAAGTTCTATAAATTTTACTGCTTTCTGAAAAAAACAAACAAAGGAATGAGCATAAATACAAAAGCAATGTCATAATCTTTAATCCCAAATTAGGAAACTGATGAGAAACACTACAAAACAAAGAAATGTAATAGCCAAAATATATCTGTACAACGAATGCGAAATTGTCGGAAAAACTTTTACCTCCAAAAGCTCATATGCTTGGTTTTTGTCTTTGCTACGCCTCCACTCACTAGTACATTCCCAAGCACAATCACACATGACAAGCTCTGATGAAAAACTTATAGGAAAGAATTTCTTCAAGTCGCTAATTATTATCTGCCACTCGACATTTGGGTTGATCGATGCTGAGTCTTTAAATATATCATAAAAATGCTCAGGTTCTGTTATGAACTCTGCTGACCATTTGCCGACCTGAAGTTTGTGAACCTGATTACAAGACGGTACAACCAACTACCTGCAGTTCCAAAAATCTCCACATATTAGAAAATTCTTTTCTTCATGAAAATATCAGAAATTGTCTTCTGAAAAAAAGTTATATAAATAACAAAATTATTAGATGGCAACAACAAAAAAAGGAAATTTTTCAAAGTAAAAATACCTGCTCTCTGTAGTAAGCTGGACCATTATTAATCAAGTCCAATACTCTAACTCGTAGTTTACTAGAAAGTTTCCCAAGAGCATTCATACACATCAAATGTCTGAGGAGCAAATCCCACCACTCCAATTTTAATTCAATATGATCCCAGTCTTCAGGATCTGATCTATCTTGGCTACCGATATTAGACTAAATATTCAATCCTTAAGTAAAAAAATAAAAACTATCTCGTTTCTTTTGCTTGTCAACAGAAATGCTACTTGAATTTGAAAAAAGTAAAATTTAATAATACCAATATAAAAAATTACTGACCTCAGTGTATGAATATTGTAGATCAAATGAAAGTGCTCGTGCAACTAAACACAGAGATAAGGCTGAATTAACTTCATAGCTGCAATATGAAGGAAAATAAAGTGAACTAAAGACTGAAATCACTGGATTCCCCATTAACTGGCCACAAAAAAAAGTTTAGTGAGTACTAATATTGATAGAAAAAATTCAAATTTAAAAAATATAATAAACAAAAGAGATTAATAGCCTGTTAAGAATGCTGCGTTCGACTTTTGCCAACCAGAGTTGAACACTGGAATCGAATTTAGATAAGTGTGCGCAGAGAGTTAAAACATGAGACAGTGAGTAACAACAATCATGACGAGAACTTAACCAATACGTACAAAATAATTCAGCAATTTCTTCCTAAAGACTAATCACTGTTATTAGAGTAAAAAACAAAAAATGTTACCTTGAAACAAAATTTATTCTGTGATGCAATGTGTAAGCCAAGTGACTTAAAATTTTGCTAATTCTCAAAACAAAATTAAAAGTTCATAAAAAAAGTTTTTTTTTTTTTTGATAAACAGTAAATTCACGAATAACAATATACCCCCGATAAACCAAGTTTAGGTAATATCTGGTTTACAAAGTTGTGTACAGTACAACGCTTTGTTAATATGCCACTAAATACCAACTTTCCAAATGTTGGAGTCTTCCTGAGCAGCCTAAATTACGATGGTTACCTTCTTTCAAGATTAGTAATTATCTTTTTTGAAAGCCACTACATATAAAATAAGTACTTGTTTGTTACTAAATTCCTATTCGATGCCGATATCTTTGATTGATTTAAATCGAAATTTGATAAATACTCAGTGAAACTGAGTTCTGGTTTCTCATCAAGAGTACTACTACCATTAAATCTGGAAAGCAAACATAATTCATCACGAAATTGAATACGAGTATTTAAAATATTTCTATTCTTTAAATTATAGTTATGCCATAACCATTTCTCTGTGAACAACATAAAGACATAGATCGTGAATAAATTTACTCGTAAATGTGCGTTGTACACAAATCCATTGTTTCTTTGTCGATAAAAAATTCATGGGACAGATTATTCTCTTCAATTTCTGTATCTGTCTCGTAAGCTGGGTCACTTTTTATTTTGTGCAAAGTTATAAATGCATCAAGCAACTGTGATACTGCGCTGACATATATTAAGAAACCATCACGATCCATAGATTTGTTCTGAAAACAAATATCTTTATCCCTGCTCTTTTGTGCACTGGCAATTTTAGATGTTAGAATTGAAAATTATCTTCAAATAGGAAGCAACAAAGATGCATTTAAAATTTATAGGAGACGAAAAATGTATGGATACATGTTTCTCGCAGAAAAATGAACAACAGTTCTTATTCCATGAAAAATACAAAAAGATACAAACCAAAGTGTCGTATCTTTCTACATGTTGCAAAATCGAAGTAAGTATGGGACGAAATTTGAAACAGTCGATATCAAAACTACGCCACAAAATACAGATGCTTTCTTTCATAGCTGCTGCAGTTCGTAGAGCTCGGAAAAACTTAAACCACATAAGCAAATCTCCACTCTTTCCTTTTCTTGTCATGTGATTAATCTGAAATCCTTTATATGATTCAAACTTTTTTTGTGATTTCAAATGTTCATAACCTTTTAATTTTTGGTACCAGCCATGAAAAATATACATAAAAATAATTCCTAATCTTCCTAAGCTTCAAAAGTTTAACAGCTTTCTCAAAATTGAATTATCTTTAATTATATGTAATATGCTGCCAAATTTACAAAAAGAATACCAAATGATCTATCTTCACCATTTACAAATAGGTAACATCTTTAACATGTTAATTAATGATGGAAGAAATAAACTTGGAAAAACTTACAAGAAATAAGGTAGATTTTTTACATTCTTTAAAATGGATATGGAACTAACTTCTCTGATGATACTTGAATCATGAACAGCAGAGCCATTTTCGTCTGATAAGGCGCGATGAAACGGTATTAAGAGACGCTGCAGAAACAGAATTTTTTACTTTTTTCTTTGAACCTTTATTTTCATTCATGATAAAGTCTTATTTAAGAGGTCTTACTTGAATTTTCCCATTCGATGATAAGAAAAAAACGGATGGTAAATACGATGTTGCTCGGTCATCAAAACCCAACAACTGGTCACTGAGTCTCTGAACTCCAATCAATCGACCATCACGATCTACTTGCGAGGCAAAGACTCTTTTTCCATTCTGAACACAGTTTTGATGAAATACAACAAAAATAGTGATTTCTTGACTGAGCACTAAATTTTTTAACAGAAGATTACCAAAGCAGAAATGTGTTAAAAAATTCAGAATGAATTTCAAACATTATATAAAAGATTCGAATTCAAAATTAAACACTAGATATTAATATTTGTTGCAACAAAATAATTTCTTTGTTAATCTCAACACTAATTTCAAGAACTTTTGCGTAATCAAATGATACGAAACAAACAATCAAATATAAAAGAATTCATATACTGTAATTGGAACAAAAAATTTGGACAGAATAAAGTGAAAAATAATACTTGCATACTCCATGCCTCGAGTAAACCTCTCCTAGGAGCGAATATCACCAAGTATAACACGGTTGATGGCTGCACTTGTAATTCATATTTGTTTTTTTTCCGATCCAAAGTGGACAAACCTTCTAACCAGGCACAACGTGCATCACGATATCCTTTCCAAATTCGCAACATAAGACGATGTTTAATCTTCAAATTTTATTCAGCTAAAAATTTTGACTGATGGAAAAACGTGAAGCAAACGGAAAAGTATATGAATAATAATAATCATCTTTTTTCAATAAACCGAATCTCAATTTTGCTGTCATTATTGTCTCAAGTTAATTCACTGACATCAAGTAATACTACACGAGCCAATGAATCTGTAATAGCTGCAAGTTTATATTTTGGCGGTGCCATATATATTCGCTCGCCTTTGCGTCTGCCATCAATAATAACTGAACGCATTGGTATATCAGCACTTGAAGATAACTCAACAATTGGAGAGTTCACTGCGCGATCTTTACGAGAAACGTTTAGACCAAATAAGGAACTTATGCCAAGTAATGGAATACTTGATACCACAGACGATGTGAGCTTAAATTTTGATTTCTACTACATTTGAATGCTTGCGACATATTGTTAACGACTATCATGCATAGGTATTCTTTTTTACAATTCTATAGTGACAGAATTAATAAGTTACCTGACTTCCAAGAGCATACAAAGTATCAGATAAAATATTCTGCGAACCCGTAGAGGCATACCAACCGAAGCCAACATATGGCGACTGACCAACAAAAACATAAGTAGAATAAAGCGGAAGCGAAGACCGTTCTACCCTAGCCTGGAAGTATTTCTTACCACAAAAAAGTGAAAAGTACTGCAGGTTTTAAAATTTTATACTGCAATAAATGCCTGAGAACAATAATTCACGTAACAATGTAAGATATAAAAAGCTTCTAATTTTTTAAAAATTTAGCAAAATAACTTAATGTTTATTACAGGAATATTTGATGAGTTACATACTGCTGACGACCGATCCAGACAGAATCGCTTCTAACATATTTTAGAATTAATTTTACAAGAATTAACCTCATAACCTTTGGACGAAAGTGTAGCAGCAATACTAAGATCGAACCACGTCGCTTTAACTGGACCAGAAACACCAAAATCGACTACTTTTACGTCAGATTCGAGTTTTAATTTTGTGCTGTTTAATTGGGAGCTTTCAGCAATTTTTTGTACATTCGTTTCTCCCCGTGCCAACTGTAGAAGAGAGGTTAATTACATTCGCACTGAATAGCAGATCATTATTTGCGATAAATAATGAATTCTTTGTACATCTTATTGTGGAATGAATGTTAAAAACTCAAACATTAAATACTCCTAATGAATAAGTAAAATAATTTATTCTATTAAAACGTCACATTAAAAGCATACATGTTGGATGCAGTTGCAAATCAGAAAATATTTATAAGAAATAAGTGGAATATTATATGAAGAAAAAATGAAGTGCTAGTTTAACAAAACGAAATGATACTGTAAGAGCCCGAAAAAATAAATTTGAATTTTCAATAGAATAATTAACTGGTGAAAACTAGGCAGCAAATCTTCTAATTGAAATTTCGACCTGATTTTTTGCTGCTTTCAACGCAACATATAATGAAAGTCCTTCAATGCAAGTTAAATCAGTTTGTGAAAGTATTGCTAGTTCTTGATTGCCAGCCATCACTGACTCACCAAAACGAATTTCTTCTATTGGACTGAAGTTCACAAAATTCAAGTACTTAATATTAAAAAACTTATAAAAACTATGATGGAATTTTTAAAAATTAAGAACTAAATTGATCGCAACTCTTGATTGTATGCATGTTACATTTTCCCAATCAGCCTTAATCGTTTTACGTGTTCTGCATAACAGTAAAACAATTACCTATTTGCTACATGCTCTGATCGCAGTAGCAAGCCTCTTTCAGTGAAAAATCGAACATATCCGTTGCTTAATCCAACAATTATCACACACCAATCATACAAACATGTCTCCGTTTTTCTCGTGCAACTCATAGGTAGTACACATAAACACCGAATATACGTCTATAAACAAAAGCTGCTTTCCTTCTTTAGTTTTCTGTAAAAAGAAGAAAAGAACGAGAAATAGATATTTTTAAGAGCCACAAAAGTAATTTCTACAACTTCGGTACCAGAGGCTTCCATGAAGAATCATCGGTGACGTTAAATTGTCCAACTGTCCGAAATGTATTATCAGTTTGGTTCTTCTCAACCACAATAATTTTTTGTGCGTGAGCAAATACCAACAAATCCATAATTCCTGGATTCAAATATAATGAATATCATTATCTTAGAACAGGTAAATCAAAAACCTAATGTCATTAATAATCCGAATACAATTACGAAAAATCCTCTAATATTTTCTGGTATTCAGCTTACCTACAGCTGAAATTAATGATCCTTGAAGCCAGGTTGAATTTTTCGCAATTACTAGTACTTCTTGGTCCTCTTTCTTAATGAAAGGAGGAATCAAATCGTCACTATTATTCTGAAAGTTTTTGAGTGTATTATAGCTCCAGTGTCTCTACCATGTAATTTTAAAACTGAAGCATTTCTATAGATAATATTTAATTGCATTATGAATTGTTCAGTGAACAATAAAAATCAACTTTTACATGAAATGAATCAAAATCAGTCCAATCAGCAATCCCAGCTTTAATCCTCGCATTGTTTTCATCCATTTTATCGGCATTAGCATCTTGATAATCATCAGCTATGCATTTCTGGGCATCTGAAACCACAGAAATTTTTTGAGCTGAAAAGTATGTATCCTGATTCAGCCCAATTTTTTGTTTGATCGAAAGCAAATATTTTTACTTCTTCATTTTCAAAGTTTTTACATTAAATGTACGAATTTACCCAAAGGCTTCAACATTGATCAAATGTTCAGGTCAACATTATTTTTTATAAGCTTGAGCTGTAAAGCAATCATTTGAAATCTAGAAACTGACCTTAATAATGAATATTTTAAATCAAAAAAGCCCTCCGTGATCGATTTTGCTTATGAATACTTTTTCAATTATGTACGTCAGTATTTTCAAATGAGGTAGTCTTTATTTTCCTATCTACAACTAATACAGATTTTTTAGTTTGTCACGAAATCAAATTGAGTTCGAAATTGCATTTCTTCTTTGAAAGTAAAAGTAAACAGCAATATAAACCATTTTCGTTGAAGTCATCTGATCTCGACAAGAAAAATTGCTGAATAGACAGAAGATGCTGTTCTGTTAGAGTATATACAGTACTTAGATCTTCATCCATCTTGTAAGCTATAAAAATTACAAGGCCATAAAAGTAGAATATACCCAGCACCAGAAATGCACTTTTTACTTAGACGCACTTTTAGGTCATGTGAAAGTTAATTAACTTTGTATACGCTTTCGCAGTTTCCTGTACCCGTTTCTTCCTTTTTTCATTGTATTAATAATCAAAATTACAAAATAAATTCGTCAGCCGACAGCAATAGTCAGATGATTATTGTGCGAAAATCACACGAGACAAAAACATGCTATCAATCAAATATCATTAATTGTACATGATAAATCTATAACTTTGTGAAAAACTCTGATATATCTTGAATAAATCTTACGATTTCACATTAGATGCCCTTCTTGCGTCCCATTCTTAATGCCATTATCTTTCTCATTATGTCAAAGCGCTGTTTTTTCTAATTATTGCAGAGTGATTTTTGTTCCTTTGAAAGGAGAAAGTTGTCATGAGGTTCTCATGACCCTAAAAATATGGCGATTGAAAATAAACGGAACTTTTGGCTGCATAACAACGGTGCGATGATTCTACTCACCTTCCACTCTAGAAAACCTCCTCAGCACTTAACAGTTAATTAAACTTTGCAATTCAATCCATCTTCGCCAACACTAATTATAAGTCAATGCCTACTATGTTTAGTAGCTCACACATTTCCAATTCATAATATACATATATATATAGGAATAAACTTCAGGTAGAGTAATTCATTATTAAACACACCCATGCCCGCTTGGAAAATAAAGTTCTGCTCTTTTTTTTTCATCCATCACTTCCTCTTGCTCTGTCCTCAGTTTTGATTTCACTTTTGGCCCTGCCTAATGACCTAATGATTGCTGACCTTGTAAAGTCTATAGAAAAAAAAATGTATAAAAAGCCTGCTTTTGAGTTTAAATAGCTGTTTACAAAGTCATAATTTGTGACGTGCTTTCATTGCTTTACAACAGACCTATCATAAATGTATTATATACTTCAGATGCAATGTGCTAGATGATTTCTACGTACCTCACGTCAAACGTACTTCAATTTCGTCATATTCGTCAGTGCACTGCAAATCCAGAGAATGCGTGACCAAATTACTTATAAGTAGTGTACTATACTGTATCAATATATTATGTTTATTTTCCTAAACATTTATAACGTGCATTGCTTTTGACTATAGAGCAGCAAAATTAATTCAAATCTTTATGCAAAAAAATTAAATGCGAAATACATACCAATAAAAACTATGCTCAGATAGTGAAGAGCAATGGTCTGTTACTTATAGATATAGAAATAAATGCAAGGCAATAAACCTCATTTTGCAATTCCAAAACATATTCAACTACAGTATTTTAGGTTATATATATCTATTTACCTATATAAACTATTTATTTTCTTTATATTTATTATTTACTTCATGTTTATGCATTCAATTATTATACATACAAATATTAATTTATTCATTTACTTATACTTATCTATACATATAGGCATCCATTCCTCACAATAATATATCACATCTTAGCATTGCATAATGGTTTGGATACAGATTTTTCAATTATTTTCTTTCCCAATCAAAATTCTTAGCGGGGTGTATTGGAAACATTGCAAATTTTAAGAGATACAGAGAGCTATAGTGTGTAAAGTGTTGAGTGAAAAGGGAGAACCAGAGACTGATAAAGCGCGAAACAGTCCGCAGTTGGAAAAGGGATACTGTTATTTCATTAGAGTAATGCGATACGGAGACCATTCAGTTTCCTTAATCTTGTCCTAATTTGTTGCTTGCGACAATTCTGTTTTTGTTTTGAGGATATATGGGATGTAAATAGTCAATCATTAGTTGTCCCGTAGCACTTGTATCATTATCGTTTTGTTCATATACAGTCTCTAATCTATTGTTTGTCTCAGTAAAATGCAAAATTATGTGTTTGTTATAATGGTAAAGTATTCGTCTTGAGAAGTACTTTTGTATTATATTAGGAAATTCTTAGCTCAGATATATCGTATATTTACTGCATGTTTTTTTCAGTGTGCTATATATCTGATTCTTCCCGAATTTCCATTTTGTAAAGTGTTGCAGCATATCCAAGTCTTATTCAAAAATCTTGCTCAAATTTACTTCAGAAATGAAGATGTTTTGAAATAAATATCGTTCCATTTAATTCCAGGACACAGTATAATGATTGAGTTATTTACAATATTTGGTAAAGGTGGTATAGTACTATGGTGTTTCCAAGAAAGCGGACATCTCTTTACTGATTCCATCAATCAGCTTATTAGAGAAGTTCTAATGCAGGTTTAGTTTTTCAATTATTTTGTTTCTTATACTGATACAATTTGTTGAACCATGTTTTGCTTTAAAACAGTTTCAGATTGGCCATTTTGGCCAATTTCTTGCAATATACTATGTATTATTGCTAGAACTCTGGATAATCCATTCCTGTCAGCAAATAATAAAGTTTGTCACTTAGTCAAGAGATGAAAAATAAAGGGCAATGCTCAAATTTTTTATTGACAAATACTTTTCCAAATATTGACAAGGCAGCTGTTATATAAAAAACAGTCCAGCACAAATCAAGTTTGTCGACTGAAAGTAAATTGTTTTGATATCAGAGTTCTAAACATAAACTCTAAAGAAAATTTGCTGTTCTTATTTTTCCATTATGTCTATTGTCATTTTTTTATCCAAAAGGTAATTAAATAATGAAAAGAATTGTTCATTATAATTATTATTAATTATCATGGCATTTTTTTTAAATAGTTGTATTCGTGTTCGTCTCTTTTAACACTCATAGCTTTCTGCATTTAAAAGTTTCATTATCTTGGTTCTTTATTTTCTGTTTTTCTTTACTAATTTAGCGCAACTACTAGCTAAAGTATCATGTACATAAAGATTTATGCAATTTTTAATTTGTAGAAAACTTTACTTCTAGGGACGTGGCAATACCACCTTATTCAAGCATAATGATGTCACCATTAAATATAAGCTGGACAATGAATTCGAACTTGTTTTTCTTGTAAGTTTTCAAAATTATGCATTTCTTATCTTTTAGCGATGCTAACGACTTATCACAAATGTGTTAATCGTTGTATAATTTGTAGAACTTTTTTAAATGGCTTATGCGAAGCGGAACAAACTCGTACTAGTAAACGAAAATTATGAATGTAGTAAAATGGTTTTTTTCAGGTTGTGTATCAAAGTGCTATTCAGCTGTCATATGCAGATCAGCTTCTTTCAGATGTGCATAAGAAGTTTCGAGACATGTACAAAAATGTTCTCTCTGATAATAAATTTCTCTTTTTGTCAACCGTTCGGACTTATCGGCAATTCACGGATGTTTTTCAAAAGTTTGTTCGTTTCCAGTCTGTAATCGGAAATTCTCGTATAAATTGAATGTTCATGAATTTTCTCTAAGATTTTTTTATTTTTGAGGAAATTTAGTTGAAAATATTGCCATTGTCGTTTAAAGCTAAATGACAGGTGTTTTTAGCATCTATCGCGAAGCACAAATATCTCTCACTAAACAGCCTGATAAAGTAATGAGAAAATTCGAGGTTTGTTATTCAATAATCTTGATTTAAATTTTGCTTATATTTCATTACATTGTCTCAAGATAGCTCATCATAATTCCTTTAAAGCAGAAGTTGTTGTAAATAATTCATCATGGGTCTAATAAATAATTGTAATTATTATCATTACTAGAAGATAAGAAGAATAGTAAGAACCCTATTTCATTTAGGAAAGTGAAAAATCTAAAAAAACTATTGCCTCAATGATTGGGCGTCCTAATAACAATTCAAATAAACTGTTAAAAGAAAAGGAGGAGCAACAAAAACGAGTGAAACATAAAAGTCGAGAAAAGATCGTATCAACTAAGCAGAATGAACCGCAATTGACGAATGATTGGATAATGAAGTTGGTTACAGATTTGGTACATATCGTTCTTTAGTTTAGTACTAAATGACTGGAGACTGTAATTAAAAATCACAAATTGAACTTTTTTTGTTCATCAAAATGTGCTATCGAGCAACTTTTTCAGTTCAACGGAGAATGAGTCTCAGTTACGTTTACCTGACTCGCCAAAAGTTGAAGCTGATGATGAAATACTACGTCGACGAGCTGAATTTTTCAAAAAGAAAACAACGAAAAAGTTTAATTTCTAATAATACAAAGATTTCATTGGATTCGTTTTACATGTAACAAAGGAACAAAAATTGCTGCAGCATAATAGCAGCATTTTTTCATCCACTCACTGTCCTTATTGATCATACTTATTTATTCACTTTCATTTTGTATTTCTTCTGATCTTAAAATTTGTGACGCAGTTTGATCAGAATTTTCAAAAATAATTCAATGTTTAGAAATGAGCCAGAAAAGTGTAATGTTGTTCAAGTCGAATCAAAAAGAAGTAAGCAAGCTCGTGTTTGGGAACTTTCGGGTAATGCTAAAACCGATATTGAATCTTTGGATTATAGCAAAAGCAAAGGTATTTCTGTTGAGGAGCCGAAGGAACAAGAGGAAGATTGGAAATTTGTCGAAGAACAGGTGATTTTAATTTGTGTTGAGAAAAAATATCCTTCATAGGTGTACTTTATTTCACTCTGAACCCTATAAATTGGCGATAGAATTATTTTTAGTTTTAGATGCAATTTGTTGGTCAATTCAAAGGTGATTTACCAGGACTGGATGAAGCAATTAGTGAAGACGAGGAAAATATTGATGATGAAGAGTAAGTCCACTTAAGGGATAAATCCAGAGTTATATTATTGGGTAGTGTTTGAAGTAAATGCCGAAAATGACGAATACAAAAAATCATATGTGATTAAGACTCCGTTCTCAGTTTTTTTCTGCATATCATTATGGTCAGTTTATTAATAAGGATTTGCTGTTGTATAACAAACAATTAACTCTCGTGAATAGGTTGTATAAATACATGTTTTTAACTTTCTTTTTTTAAATTGTATCAAGGCTTTGTTTGTCAAGCGAATTTATTTTAATTTGAGATTTAAAAAAGTTGTTACGTTTTCAAGAGATGGTAAAATGAGCAAGCTAAAAGATAACAGTGGTTGGTTTTCGGCATTCCGTTCACTTGTTGGGAACAAAAAATTGACGACTGAAGATATTAAACCAGCTCTTGACAAAATGCGAGAAACTTTGATTGGCATGTTGTTCGATTTATCGTTATTTTCTATTACTTCAAAAAGATAAAATCTCTAATTCCATATGCTATTCATGTTATGAAATATAGTTAATTATATATCTTAAGGAATGTAAGCCAGTGTTGAGCGAACTTTTTTTTTATTTTGGAAGGTATATTTTGTCCAAATGTATTTCTTATGTCTGTTTCAGCCAAGAACGTTGCTGCTGAACCTGCTGATAAACTATGTAAGTCCGTAGAAGTAAAGTTGGAAGGTAAAGTAGTAAGTACTTTCAGTCGTGTAACAAGCATTGTAAAAGAATCTATTCGCGAAGCTCTAGTGCAGGTCTGTCATTTTTAATGCGATATAATTCTTTAAAAAATGTCTGAACTATAAAAGAAATATCTTATTATTGCTGAAAAAAAAAAAGCATTTTCACCTATTGCTTTAAGCAACTAAACAATTCAACCAACTGTAGTCATTAAATTGTATCATTTTAGTAGGTTTAATTCTCGTTGTCATCAATTTTAGTTGTTGACCCCAAAACGACGTGTAGACATTCTTCGTGATATACTCGAAGCAAAACGTGAAAAACGTCCATATGTAATTGTTTTTTGCGGCGTTAATGGAGTTGGAAAGTCAACAAATCTTGCGAAAATAGCTTTTTGGTTAAATGAAAACGGTATGCGGTTTCCAGTTTTTCATCGATGAGAAACATTTTTGGATATGTGTAAACTTAATTTTTTCATATGCAGTGCAATTCAGGAATGAAATAGAATTCATAAAATGAAATTTTCTCACTAATTTGAAGTTTTATGTTTTAGGTCATAAAGTTTTAATTGCGGCTGCCGATACATTTCGTGCAGGAGCTGTGGAGCAATTGAGAACTCATACTAAACATCTAAATGCTTTGCATGCGAACAGTGTTCAACTCTATGAACAAGGTTATGGTAAAGATCCAGCTGGACTTGCTGCTACTGCAATTTCCTTAGGTTGATTGTCATTTTTATGTGATTCTGACGTTTTTGCTCAAGTATTGATACATAATAAAAGCAGAAATGTTATCATCTTTGTTTACATAGTGCCAAGAAGTAATAGATGAGGAGAACAGATAGAAGTAACTGAATTTTTTACTTCTATCTGTTCTCCTTATCAAAGAAGAATCTAGATTTCGTTTTTCCGATCGTAAACTATCCAGTTGGAAAGTAAAATCTTTCAAATATCATATACTTTTGATTTCGGATGCGCTATTTTTTATTTTCATTATGAATTGTTTTTCCATACAGGCTAAAGAGCAGTGTTTAAAGTTAGTGAAGTTAGTGCAGCAAGAAAATTTATACCTGAATTTCGTTTCCAGCAGTGGAACGCGGAACGGATGTAGTATTAGTAGACACAGCTGGACGTATGCAAGATAATGAGCCGCTCATGCGTTCGCTTGCTAAAGTTTGTTTATGAAATTTAATGTTGCAATTTTTTTTGAAAGTATTAATGTTGAAAATAGATTGATATACACAGCATAATCTTAGAATTCATAAAACTAAATGTTTTAAAATTTCAGATCTATTCGTAAATTTAATCCCGAAAAAATAAATTCAAATTTATATTGTTTGTAGTTAATACAAATCAACGAACCGGACTTGGTGTTATTTGTGGGTGAAGCATTAGTAGGAAATGAAGCAGTCGATCAGCTTGTCAAGTTTAATCAAGCTTTAGCTGACCATGCTGCTCTAGGTGCAGAAGCTAAACTTGTAGATGGTATAGTTCTAACGAAATTTGACACTATCGATGATAAAGTAAGTATGAATGATAAACCGTCATAATTTAGTGTTCTGATGGGTTGGTGATGATTTTGCTTCATATGGCTAACTTTATATTGATAGTTATAGCTGTAAAATATCTTCATATGCCTCAAAAGTTAATAAAAGTTAATTTGTTATTGCGTTCTAAAGAATTTGTGGCAGTAATAATTGTGAATTGATTTGTGATAAATTAAAGTATAAATAGTAAGAAATAATTTTTAGGTTGGTGCCGCAATCTCAATGACATATATCACTGGACAACCAATTGTGTTTGTTGGCACTGGACAGACTTACAAAGATTTGAAAAGTTTGAATGCTGCTGCTGTTGTACATTCATTGCTGAGATGAATTTATTTGAACGTTGTTAGTGATTTTGTTTAGATTTTTTTCTCCAAAAATGGTTGTAGATCGGACTGTCTTTTTTTTCAAATTTTTACGACTTGAGATATTAAAACTAGTTAGTTTATATCCTAAAATATGTCACTCAGACTTACTACTACTGAATGACTTTCAAAAACTAAAATTCTCGATGATCACTGCAAAATTTAAGGGCTCCAAATGCGTTATGAATTTCTAAAGAAGAGTTTGTGATCATGGTGATTTAAGAATTAGACTTTTTGTTCTTACATTAAAAACATATGTGTCAAAGAAATGTTTTTTTCTAAATATATGGTAATTGAGTGCTTGATATGAAATATCTAAAGTGCACGAAATGAAGTTTCATTTCTGAAATTATCGAGATTCTAAGAAATGATAATAATATGTAGCATACTTGAACTGTACTGTGATATGTTCATATCTGTGATATTTTTTTCTCTTTATTACATTTTTTGAATGAAGGGAATATTTGTTGGGACGTTGTCGTAATTGTATTATGTTAAAATTTTTTATCATACTTTTATGAATAAAAAAAGAAAAAACGGTGTAATGCTCAGATACCATGATGCATTTTAGTGAAGGCGCTTTTTGTTGAACATAACCATGTTGTTTTCAGCGTTTATCGCGTTTAAAAGATAAGCAATGTGATGAATTTCCATCTTGTAAAATTTCGAAGTTTGTAACACTGATTTTTGTTCGGATCAAGCAATGAAGGGTTGCTGGAAATGATTCTCAAAGCAGATTTTTCAGCTTTTAAAGAACTCCCATGCATCGTCAGATTAGTTCTGTAGTGCATGCTGTGCTAATAGAATTCAGGAAGTGGTGGAAGCATATTGCTTTTTTGTCATCTTGGGAAATGCATCTGGCTTCCAGTCTCACTTTTGAGATACTTTTCCTATTGAAGGATTCTTGAGAAGGTGCGCAGGAATTGTTGTTTTATTGATTTCTTAAGTGCTTTTTACTTGGGAAGTTGTCGCACTGTGTCTAACATTAGTCTCACCAGCATTAAATTATTATGGTAGTACTTACGTTAACCATAAAAGCAATAAAGGAACTTTCATGGCTAAGGCTCCTTGAGAGAAGTCAGAGGGAACTTCTCGATGTCAATTTATAATTTAGGAACAAGACTACGCAGCATTTTTGCTCTTCATTACGCTTATTATATCAGTAGTTTATAAACCAGTATTAGAAGTTAGCGGAAATGGTCGATGTAGACTCGGCAATTTTCGCCGGCACTACACTTACCGACATAACCGTTGCGTCATTTTACACGATGAACTCAGACATAAAATGCTTGAGAGTAATTAAAGTTCAGTCAGAAATCTGCATCACGTCGCCCTTATAAATTATAGCCAGAACCGATTTGTTTCAAATATTGTGTCTAGTGGCGGAACAGGGCTGCAAGCCTTGGAAATGTTCTGTTAAAGCCCATTCTAAGTTTCCGTCGTTGTTTGCATGCGTGCGTACGTTGTTTTTATGCAATTTTACGTTTTGGCGTAAGCACTTTGTGTTTCTTCACATGATAGATTGTGAGACTTTATGTGAGTCAGGTGCAGCTATCGTAGACTCGTTGTTTTTACGCTGGCTTATGATATTATTAATTTTCATTGGCTTTGGCTAATATTGTTGTGTCATGTTGAAACTTCTTCAGCAGGTCGTGTGATTATAATTAAGTATAATCGTATGTCGGCTCGTGAAGTTTTCACATGTTTCGAAATGAGTCTTGTTTTTTCAGAAATTCTGATTTATTTACCGAATTATAATACAGTTCGTCTCACTGCGCTAAACAAAATTTCAAATATGTCGGTTGCGGATTGTTCTATGGGGCAAGATGGTAAATTATTTGTGCGTTACCATCATGTTTATTGCTTAACTTGTTGATTTTCTAAAATGCGTTTTGTGCTCGAAAACTATTCTCATTTTTAAATTTTAAAAATTTCTTACACGTTCCCCAAAATTTATTATAGGAAGCCATTTCAAAAGATATATTACACCATTATTTACATTTTGTCTTCAGAATAGTGGTATTCGCTGTAATTGTAAAAATGTATTATTTAGCTGAGGAAGGTGTGTTAGCTGCATATTAGTCAAGTCTCTTTAACACTATAGTACTTTCGCTGCGCAATGTTATGTTATAATTATAATAGATTAATAGTAACATCGGTATGACTGTGTCAGCCATCCACTAATTGTTATTTATGTAAAGTGGATTTTGGAACTATTTGAAAACATCTATTACATGGCTAAGCCTTCTTGTTGCTTAATTTTATACTTATGTTGTGTGCTATGGATGTTTACTGTTTTTATGCCAAAAATTGCTGATTGCAGATGTCAAAGATGAAGATGAATCGTGTGATAAATCAACTCTGAATATGTAAGATACACTTTTTATTTTGATTAATCTGGGAAGTTTTTCCTGTTTTAAAATAAATGCAACGGGAATTTTTTACTATCACAGTTGCATCTTGTGTTCTCGCCTAGCTTTTTTAATAGTTATGCTAAATGTATGTGATATCATCCAAATTTTGACTTTGAAATTTCGTAATAATTCCAAGTATTAATTATGATGTTATTGGTAAATTACATGTTCCTCTTATTTTTGATCTTATTCAAACAGTATCTGTTAAGAAGTTTATGTAACTGCTCCGTAAATCAGAAAAACATACCAATATATGATATCAAACAATATTCAACTGAAATGTTTTTGAAAGTTATAGAGACACGTCGGAAGATCCACTACTAAAAATAAGAGGAGGGTTTTTTGGACGAAGTGCTTCATATTTACAGGCAAGTTTAGTTTCAATACACCATTTTTTCTACTTCTGAATTCACCTTTAGTTTAGTTCCTTTTTTATCCGTAGATGGCGATCAATATATAGAGAATTGGTTCAAAGTAAATTTGAGCTGCCATTAAAAAAGTATTGGTTAAAAAAGGTATGGTTCTTCTATGAATGATGGTTTTCGCGAATTATTCGTCTCGCATTTATAGAATTCATCAGCTAGGAAATGATTTGAAATTTTATCTTTAATGAGTGTGTTGCAACATATGAATTTCAGGGTGATGAATTAGCTTTGAGCAATAAGAAAAATGCAGCCGAAGAGCAGCATTCAGGTATATTTTCTTCTTGGAAAAATACATTCGAAGTATCGATTTCATTTCGCTATACCATTTTCATGTGTATTGCAATACCTCTTTTTCACAACAATTATAGAATCCACGATTAATTGGAGCAAGAAAGGTGGTGCTGATTCAAAGCAACTGACAGGAGCTGAAGGCTCGATGAAAGTCGAAATTATGGAAAAAAACAGTTTTGCGCAGCAACAAGTATTTTTTAATACATGTATATTGTATTTTTCATGGAAATTGTTACTAGATTTTTTAACATAAATTTTAATGTCTACTTAACTCAGTTTTCATGTTTTGGCGCCTATCTGAACTTTTTTTAAAATAAGAAGTTGTAAAGCCTCATGAAGGCAATAGTATAATTTTTCTTATTTGCATTCCAAGAATCTGAATTGAGTTTATCTGCTAAAGGAATCTGTTTCAAGATCGACGTAGAGGGTGATTTGAAATCCGATAGTTTGGAAACTTCTGGAGGTAGTAAAGAAAGACTAAAAACTAAAGAGCCAAACCATCCCAAAAATGCTATAGACAGGTATTGATCACTTTCACGTCAATGTTTTCTTTTCTTCTCAGAAAAAATATTAACGTACTTGATTAGTATAATTTCAGTCACGATGGAAAAGAACAGAATTCAATAAGTACAGTGACCAGTGTTTCACGCTCAGAGGTTTTATAACTTTTTTAATATTCTAAATAACTTACGGAAAAATAGATGTGTACATGCGTGTTTGTTTTTTTATAATAGTAAAAATTTACTTTATTTTGAAAAAATTGAAGGAAGTTAACGTTGCATTTTTTTTCCTGTCACGTTCTCAGCAACGCTGTAATACTTTTTATGATGTATTCATGGATTTTTCTTTCAGTATATTTTTGAATCAAGTCATGGATCAGTAGGATATGAAGAAAGTCATGTGAAGATCATTCACAAAGCAGAAGAAAGTTCGTCTTTATTGGCCGAAACTGAGGGAGATATGGAATGCAATAAAAGCGATGTATCTTACATATATTTCAAGTTTTTTGAATAATGGTTTTGTTAAATCTTTTACTGCAGCATAAATGGACATTAATAGTGTAACCAAAAAAAAATGCATTTGAAACAACTCACTGAGAATAATGTAATTCAGATGGATAGGAGAAATGATATTGTAATTGTGGATGAATCAAGAAGCAGCTCTGAAACAAGGGATGAAAGTCCTAATGAACCAGAGGATAAATCGAATTCTATGGTGGGAAAAGCTCCCACGAAGGAGGCACAGCAAGCTGAATTAAAGGAAAAAGTTTCAGACGGGAATGAGGACGAAAATCATACTGATACTTTTCAAGAGGTTTGCTGCAAAAATAATGAGTGAAAATCGCATTCTTCGTTGTGACTGGAAATTGTTTTGTCTTATTGAATTGAAAATTCAAATGGCAATTACATTTTATATGTTACAGGTTTCAGCCAGAAAGTCAACTCGAAGTTATAAGCCTAATGCGAAAAAAAATGTGGAAGGTACTTTAGCAGATTCAAAGGTCGAAAAAACACAAGGAAGTGACAACTCTGTTTGCGAGCGCCGGAAAAGTTTGCGTACACGTAAAAGCGATGTTTCTCATGTAACTATGGCGCCAAAAAATGAGTCAGTGGTTGAAAAAAGAAGAATCAGTTTGCGAACACCCAAGAAATCAGCTTCACTGTAAATTCTCATTAATTTTTATTTTTTTAGAGAAAAAAGTAGGACTTTAGTTGATGAAATTATGCATTTTCTGTTGGTATTAGCAGACCTAATTCTTTTTCGTGTATTAAGAACATTCGGTAACAAATTTCTTTCAGATCATCGCCTGTTTCAAGGGTTACTCGGATAGAAAATAAGATGGAAACGGTAATTTATTTCTTATTATTGTGTTGATTTATAGTTATAAAAATTTTTAAACAAGGTTCTCTCCCAGATTTCAAATTTTCATCTATTTTCCAAAAAATGTTTGAATGTAACCAATAAATTTCAGCGTGAATCGGAATCAGAATTCGCAGATGACAAGACTGCATTGTCTGGAAAAAGCAGCAAAAAAAATGGTATACGTTTTTGACTCCAGTATTTTAAAGATTTTCATAGCCATGTATTATCATGTATGATTTTCAGCATCAAGCACTTCCTCTGTATCGAAATCTGCTCGAAATTTTGCAAAAAAAGAAGCAGTGAAAAGAAAGCGTGCTAGTGATTCAGACAAGGATCCGTTCAGTTTTGACAAAAATTCCGACAATCATCCTGAACCCTTACGTAATATTCAGGTCAAATTGTTTTTTATTTTGTAAGATTTCTAGAAATTAAGTTGATCAATTTTATCTAGTTCATAGTTGCACATTTTTGTGAGCAGCACGGTATGTACTATATTTTAAAAAAAAGGCTAAATATAGTACATATTGCCCTTTCATGTTTTATATATTTTTTATATTGATTGATTATTATTTAGATATCACTCTACTGTATCTTTGCTCATATTTGATACTGCTAATTATTCTCTTTGAAATATGCCTTTATAGTCCACTGTAGTCGCATTAATCATTTCAAAATGTCTCACTAATTTTTTCTCGTTTTTAATTCTTGATTTGGTAATTTTTCAGATGGAGCGTCAGTCATTCGGAGGATATAAATTCACCAAATCACCTGAACAAACCATCGCGTCGTGAGTTAATCATACTCGTGATTTATTCAAAATCACGTTGTGAATTGACTGTCACAAAACAATTTCTGAATTGTTCATACTGTAAATAATATCAGATGGGTTTCAGACGTTACCAGAAAACGGAACAGACGGCTCATAAAAGACGGTCCAACTTAACTAATCTTTTACCGCAACAAGAGGTATTATTTTAGTGCATGCTTAATTGTTAACTTGAGTTTCTTTGTATGTGAATCCTTTTATTGTTTACATATGTTTTTTTAATCACCTGGGAACTTATTTAGCCAAAAGTATATAATATCGCAGTTCATATTTCATATTACTAATTTTTTATAGTATTAATTTTAATGTAGTATTAATCTTGTGATCTGAAAACTTTATTTACTACTTCATCAGCATTAATTTCTCAAATGAGTTCATTAGTTCTCTACATTATCCTAACTCTAATTTCATTATGTTGGGATTAAATTACTGTAGATGAAATATGCAGTTTCCATTACTTCTAACAGACTCATGTAGTAGCTTTGAACTATAATTTCGCGTTTTCATTGCTGTGGTATAGTATTGTTACAATGTCTAAGACTATTTTTCCTGTAATAAATATTGATTCAAGTTTAGATTAGCACTCACAAATCACTTTCTGAATTGTCGCTAAGTGCAAGTCAACGAAGTGGAATGAAAACAACATCAAAAAGGTTGAATTTTATCGCATAATACTGTGATTCTCGTTTCATTTGTATCTGCGTTAAAATAGTTATCTTTATGATAAACAGTAATCATAAGTTTAGTAATTGCCATCCAGATAAAATTAAAAGTAAGATTCTTATATTTGTCCATGTTGAGAGTTTAAAAGAGTATTTACAGAAAAACGAAATCTATAGGCGTTGAAGTGATAGAGCCTAGTGGAAGTTCCACTACTGTGAGTCGATTTTCAAACAAAAGTGATGTAGAAGTGAGGCTTTTGATTTAGTAGATGTATCCGTAATCAATTTTCACAGAACTTTATGAGAGTAGTATGTCTGATCAAAATTATGTTGATGGTATAACCGTGCTAATGCTGCAACAAAGAATGTGCTAGTTTTGGCATACATGTTTCACAGAGTGTAGCACTCTGAAAAAACTGTATTTCTGCTCAGTCACACTTTACATACCATTAAAAAACGCATAAAATTGCATTCACATAAAAAATTGACTTGCTACTTTATTAGTTAGGACTAAATATTCAAATCACAGTGATTAGTCTGAGAAAGAAAAAATTTCAAATCCTTGTTTTCAAAAAATTGGGTTCACTTGATAGCTGAGAGAAGATGATTTGCAGATTAGATAGAATTTTGTCCAGCATTTCAGAAGCGATCAAAAGATATAAGCCAGCTGGAAGACAAGCAGATACAGTCTGCATGTAATTTGCAGTCATCTTCAAAACAGCGAAAACGAAAAACGTTAGCATTTTTTCACGTATAACCACTGATCATATTAGCTATAATTATTCGTGTATTGTAGCGTAAAGTTTGTTGTTCTAGTCATCTATTACGTATAATATCTATCATTCCTGACATCATACAGTCCTGTTATAGATTATGTTAAGCTTGTTTTCAAATTACAGATGGAATTCTCGTAGGTTAAAACCAATGTAAAACGGATTGAAATTCCAATTTATTTACAGTTTTAAAGATGGCATCAAAAATGTAAAAATTTGGATACTATCTTATATTTTTGAAGTAGCGCTATATATTTAAAGCTTGAAATGAAATGGTGCTTTACATTAAAAGAGTGTAGCACGTTTTTGTTGTAATTTTTGTGAGGTTTTTATTATATATATTGTTTAGAGTGGAAACATCATCAACTGTTTCTTCTAAAAGACCATTGAAAACTATTTTCCCAGAACTGCCTGCAGCAGAGCAACTTGAAGCTGATCATCATTCAAATAAACATGCTACATACAGTGTTGGGGCACGGATTTATGCTTTGTGGGATCGCTTGTATTATCCGGCTCAAGTAACAGCGTACGCATTCGTATTTGTAGTAAACAACACTCAGATACCTCATTTTTCTAAAATTTAAAAAAGTCGATTGTGAACAATTTGACTACAATAATTTACACGATCAAGATTAAATTAAAGACCAAAAGATCAAATTACAAGTAATGATTTTAGAAAAGACAGAATTAAATTTTTAAGTAATGACTTAAATTAACCTCAGTTGTTCTGCAGTCGTGATGATATTACATTTTATCAAGATTGACAATATGAAATGTAACAAAATTAAAATTAATTTTGTGTTATTGGGAATGTTTGGACCTTCGATGCCTTCAGTGAACCGGATGCGAGTGGTCGTTATGATGTAGTTTTTGCTGAAGATGGTGCTGTCCGCAAATTAGTGGCTACTGGCATAATTCCGTTGTGTAATCTTGTTGCAGGCCGAAAAGTGATCATAAAAATCTGTTTCTTTTAAATATATTTCTGTACTCTGCAGAGTTTTTATCCTTACTGTTCTTACAAGGCGATGACCGTTTTATTAATTCAAAAAAAAAAATAGTATTGATGAACTCATGCGCAAGATTTCCGACTTCCAATTATTCTTTTCATCACTATAATCGTGAGAAATTACAGAACTGAAACTTTACTTACGATATTTGATATTTTTTTATGAAAGTAAAAAATTAGTTACTAAAGTGTTTTATTATAGTGTTTGACAACAAAAGTTAACGATGGTGAAGAAGTACTGGAAGAAATTGAAATTATTGAAGCGCCTTCAAGCGATGATGCACAAAAATGGATGAAAGCTCTGTTCAAAGTCAAAGAAATAGATAGTTCAGATATAAGCTAGTAAGTACCACTATTTTTTTTAAATAAATCCAGCGTAGCATCTTTTTTTTCAATATTTATGTTTTAACGTTTCTACACTATGCTCATTATCTGATGAAATAAAGTATTTGAATTGCATCTGCTTTTAATTTGGATTTCTTTTAATATAGTGTTTATCGGTGTAATTAGCATTACGTTATCATTCTCGCTGATTAAAGTTTTTATGATTTAGTTTAATTTACAGTTTGACGTGGCAGAAGTTAGTGCTTGATGGTAATCATGCTAAAGCTCTACAAGTGGCAACAGTTAATACAGTGCGTGATGTCACTGCTGGTACACGATTATTAGTAAAGCGAATTTAACAAATTTTATTTGTGAAGGAGCAGTTCTTCCACGAGTAGTACTCTCTGTATAATGCAATGAGTGCTAGTAATTGATTGCGCTCAGATTCTTGCTATCGGAAATTCCAGTGATTTTTTTTTAATCGAGATGTTTCTTGCAGATAATATTGCATCAGCAGAAGGTCGACGTAGTCGGGCTGCTCGGCATAGTGCCTCTAATGCTAGCAAAATTTCATTCAGTCCTACAGTAACTAAAACACCTCGCCGTAATGTTCCAGCAGGTAAGATTAATTTTTACTCTATATGTTTTTTAATTTGCTGTTTAACGTAGCAGAAGTTGTTACTTTATGGTAATCGTGTTAAAATTTACAAGTACCAACAGTCAAGTTTTTACTGGTGTCGTATATTATATTTGATGTGAAATTAAGTTGGCGACTTAAATAAGTTTTCAGAAAAAGATAGTACTTTTCCCAAAACATCAAAAAATATTGAACCGGAACAACAAGAACAACAACAACAAAATTCAGCTACTAATGGTTCTGCAAATAAAAGTGAATTCTCACAGCAGTTTTTAGTAAGAGAACAAGGCTTTCTCTAAAGTGTTCATCTTAAGGACATTAGATACGAAAGATTAGATAAAAAGTATGTGCTATAAAGTTTAAGTTTTTACATTCACTTATTTAGCCTCTATAGCAATTTTCCATGGTATGACTTTCGTGGTCACGTCAGCATTGCGTAAAACCCGTGAAGGTGAACAAATATTTAGCAAAAAAGAAATACGATGCGTGATTGAAAGTGCTGGTGGAAAAGTAATCGATGATGTTATGGTTTGTTAAAACTTGATGCTTTATTTTTTAGATAGAACGTAAATTTTCCCGTTTTTCATTAAAAACCAAAGTAGTTTTTTAGTATATAAAGATGTTATCTCTAATCTGGGAGCTTGCAGAAATTGCCTCAGGGTAAACCTATTTATCTTATCGCTGATACCCATTATCGTACTCATAAATACCTCACAGCATTAGCGCTTGGTGTTCCATGCGTAAGTAATCAGTGGATTGTTGACAGCGCAAAGGAGGTAAGACATACTTTGCTAATTCAAATATTTGATCACATTGCTAAGTAATTATTTACTTACTTAAAGTTCACTGTCTTGAAAAATTCAAGCAGACATCTTTTAATGCTCAATTATTTCAGAAAAAATTACTGGATTACAAAAAATACATGTTACCTGCTGGAGTTTCTCTTCTTACTGGTGATTTAAAGCCTTGGTAAGACTTACTTTTCATCAAGTTTTGCTCTATTTTATTTGTCTCATTTTTGAAAGGGATTGTTTCAGGCATAAAAACAATGCGACCCTCTTGTCGGGAAAGCGTGTTTTCATTTTTTCAAGCAACATTTTCTATGAGCTAGCAAGTTTCTCTCAAATTTGGTCACCTATAATAAAATACTTGGGAGGAAATGTTATTCAAGCGATGCCTAATGGTAAATTTTGATGTTTTCATGAGAAAAAGGGATATTGTATGATAACCAATCCTAGACTTAACTTTTTTGTTATTTGTTTAAAAAAAAAAAGAAAAAAACACTTATAAGACTTACAGAAGGACTGGATATTTTATTGACCGACATTAGCTGTACTGATGAAATTTTGAACGCTGCCCGCTCGCAGGGAGCTACTGTTGTATCATCAGAATGGATTATTCAAGTAAATATTATCTTATTATAGGATCTAAATTATGGCTCATTGCTAACGTAAATATTAACAGATATTTCAATAACGATTTTAATTTCCAACTATGTGCAATATGGAATTCATTTCTTTCAGGCTATAATTCAAGGGAGTTTACCAGAACCGAGCGCGCATGAACGTTTTCAGTATGATTTTAACGATTCGTGTTCATAAATTGTTTTGACTGTGATCGTTTTTCTTTCATATCATGTGTCATCAAATATTTTTGGATTTGTAATGTCAGTTCTTTTTCTGTCCATATTTGTAATTTGCGAACTCTGGTGATAATAGCAGAAATTATTATTTGAATCTTAATAGTAACATATAATTAGACTGACCATAACAATGGCGTTAATGAATTTTAAAAATGTTTTGTGTATTTCTTGGTCAGCTTCCTAATGGTATCTTTTCTCTGTTAATATTTTTCGGAACCAGTATACTTCCTCATTAGTTCATTTGTCTCGGTTCATGATGGCATTGAATTGGAAAATCAGTTATTCGTTATGATAGGGATGGTTTAATGAATTTTGAGGATTTCTCTTTTTCAGTGAGCAAATAGTGCGTTATTATTGTGATATGTTGTCATTAAGTATTTAAAGTTGATTTCATTTCTCTTGTTTCACTAAAACGATGGTTTTGTTTTATTAAAACACACGATCTGCAACTTTATAATTTTATCTATAAGAAAGTGTGATGTTTTTTATTTAAAATAATAAATGCTTAATTCTCAAGTATGCTAGAAAGATTGTGTGGTTGTATTGGTGGTAGTGAAATTTATGCTATTGTTACTTTATGTGTACCTTTGCTAATTCATACGCGGTGTATTCTGATTTTCCTGTTAAATATTGAAAAAGCGGTATTTCCCTGCACACAAACTGCAGTACTCGATTGTTCATTTGATTTTTCATGTAAGACCTGGCTTATTGGTGTAGTTAATGTCTGTATATGGCGTTTCATGAAAATTAGAGGAATATTTGGTGAGTCCAAAGTCATATAATAAAGTTCTAGATTTATGATAAAGTAGAAAAGCAGTTTGCTGGATTTAGTTTGTTGCAGAATTGGGAATTGTTTTCTTTTTTGAGTTTGAGAGTACTGGAGTTACAAGGTTTGGTGATTGGATTATCGTAAGTTGGTAGTGCTTGTGCATGTGATCGTGCTTAGTGATGTCATGTTTTTGCTTGTAATGTAGCATTATCCAAACATGCATTGCTGAATTTCCTGGCTTGAATTGATGTGCATTGGTTGTCTATATCAGCATCTAAAAGGTTGTCTCGAAAAGTTTCTTCTGCTTATTATCCTTGCCCTTCTTGATTTTTGGATTTTGCCAAAAGGGGCTCCTGATATAAGGTTCTTGTTTAAATTTATTTCCTTATGTAGCTGAAAAATGTGATACCAAATTTTTTGTCGCCTACAAAAGCTACTTTTTCTATAGTTTTGTATTACCTAAGAATTTACTTTCCTTATATTTGCCTGCAATGCTTCACGTCTGTGACGAAGAATTGCATAATTAACTGAGAGGAAAATGAAGTTGAGATTGAATTTATCTCAAAATGCATGATTTTGAAAACGTTGTACTTATCATTCTTCAGAAGGTTGTTTTCGAGTCAAGTAAGGAATAGGTGTGACAGAATCCTTGTGTCCCATTCATTTGTTCAGTGTATTGATATTTCAGATACGTTAGTATTTTCTTTTCTACTGCATCAGTTGATAAAATTTGTACTATTTGTCGGAAAATAAATATGGTACTATTAACTTCATAAATGTTTTGAGGAAATCGCATTTGAAATGTTATAGTTGTTTACAATACGGCTATAATTTTGACTGGGTTTTAAGCAAATTTTCTTGTCAGTTTTTTAGTTTTTGATCCTTTTGATTTTCACTTGTAGAAGTGCTAAGTTTTGAGTTTATGAACCCAATTGTGTTTTCTGTAATATTGTGATGCATTCCTTTTCAGTGATTGAGGAAAGATTATTTCTACAAACATTTAGTTTCATTTCTAGTTAGGTGATTAAGAAGAACTTAGGTGAGTGATGACGAGGGAATTTCTGCGCTGAAAGTATAAATAGATTTCCTTCAATTCTTTGACGGAAATAGACTGTGTTGTGGATGTTTTCGACAATAGCTCTTACAAATTAAACAACAAGTAGTTCATTTATTTTACTTTGATGTGAACTCTGATAATTGTACGAAAAGATAAATAAGGGAGATTTTTTTTTGATTCTGTTACCTAATTTCATGAAATAAACTGGTTGTTTACTAACGCTTTCATTTATTTCGAACATCTTTTCTTAGAAAATTTCTGGCTCTAAATTATACTCTCGTTCAAACATAGTTGTGGGAAGTGAACAGATGCAAGTTGTGTTGAAAACCTGGATTATCTAAGAGAAATGTTATAAAGAATTGATAGTAAGTTTAACAGTGATTGTAGTCCTACTTTGTTAATACGGATGGTATATTGTGTAGAAGTAGCAAGTGGTGGGGATGAATATAAAGGGATTGAGTACTGTTTAATTTGTACACATGTTACTGAAACAATGAAAGACTTGCTATTCATTTATGCATGTAGTGTTTTTAGATATTTTACACGCTGAAAAGAGCTAGGAAAAACTGCATTAATTCCTTGGTTTAGATTTACGTGTGGTTGCAACTGAACACTATTTGAATCAACTCAAGCATGTATGACTTCATTTAAATAAATTATTAAAAAACTGAGTCAACTCTTCATTTTAATAAATTATTAAAATGTTTATTCAAAGTTTGCGATTCAAAAACATTGCTTCATAAGCAATTCGTTGTTTTAAAAAAATATCAGTTTTGTGTACAGTTGTATAATACATTTTTGTAGTTCTGTATAATTTTTTTGGAGTAGAATTTAGGAAGTAAGTGAATTCACTGAAAGAAATATGAAAGATGCAGAATTCAGAATGTAAGTAAGATCAGAGGAATCGGGAATAATTTGTCACAGACATTTAGCTAAAGCAATTGTAAAAGTAAAATTGCTGTGATCATTTAACAGAATATGTACAAATCGTTTTTGTGATATCTGACCGAACGAGAAGTACCAAATACTTATCACTATTACCACTGCATTTGCAGAAAAATATGTAGAGGTGTAATTAGTTTGAACTGATGCTGGGTGATTTCCTCCCGATGTCTATCCATTAAATAGAACATATAATAAAAAAGTACTTGCCTGGCTAACTTACTGGGTTCCCTGCTCAGTAAGTTAGTACTTTTAGTCAAAGGAAAGCTCCTTTGATTAATTTGTCGTCGAGCAGCATCTGGTAGTGATTTAGATACCTCTGTCTATTCAGATTATTTTCTCAGCTAGCAGTAATAAATGCTATCTGATGACTGTATTTCTAGGAGTGACCAAGTAAGTACCTGCTTGCTTCGGCATGGCTTAACGAAAAATTTGAAGCGGAATCTGCAGAGATCTGTTCAAAAACCGTTCAGTTTAATGAAAACTTCTAGATCATACTAAATCTATTTTTATCATATTTCCGTTAACCTTCAGTAGAATAGTATAGTATTTACACATAGTGGCAGAAATTGCTTATACTCATCTACTTCTTATATGCTGCAATTCTGATATTTTTTTCGCGAATTTTTTTTTGTATCTTTTCCTGAATATTTTTACTCTTTTCAGAATTTCTTTCAGTTTAGTGACGACCTTCAATCATTTCGTGCCTTACGTTATAGTATAATTTTTTCTCATAAATGCAGGGGAAATTCCTTTAAATTTATGAGAGTTTTAGGCATGTATAATTCCCGAACGCAATGTACTGTTTTCTGCTAAAGCTTGAATGGATAATTGTTTAAAAAAGTAACATTTGAGTATTTTGTGTAATGAAGAGCAAGCCTTTATTGAAAGATTATGTCGCTGTTTTGGATTGTTGTTTGCAATTCTTGCGTGTAAAATTTATTTCAGATACAAATTTATACTTATTAAGGCAATTAGTGCTTATCTGCTAAAATTCTGCCAGCAATTTTCATTACTGTGTTGGCTCAGACGAAGAATCAAAATTTATTAAGACGTTGAAACCTGTGCTTGAAGTGATCCATATTTCGGTCTGCAATTTAGGTATGTATGTTCATTTGTTATAAATTAAGTTTGTTTTTCATGATATTTGCGGCATATTTCCAAATCTTAGCATGCATTTTTAATTCGTTTTTCGCTATAAATGTATCATTACTTAAAATATATTGATAGTTTCCAAATTCATTTTTTAATATTTTTTCTACAAAATGAATTAGACATTTAATTGTACCTGATTACTTCACATAAGCTTGAAGTTGCTTATTAGTAAGGTCATTTGGGAAATGATAAAGGTGAACAACAGAGTGATGGTTTTTTAGTAATCAATTTATGTAGTAACTGCAGAGAAAGAATGGCGTTTATTTGCCGTGAAATTTTTTCATTAATTATTGCAAAGAATAAATTTTTGTCGTTAAATATTTAAGCAAGTAAATTGTGCAGTTCACAGGTGAATAAAGTGGATAACTGATTGCAGGTGATCATAGCATGTAAAGGACCTTTTCTATGTTAATAATTTTTATGATAATGTATGAAGTTGTTTTTGCAAAGTAAACAAAATGGAAGGAATTTGCATCTCTCCTCTTTTCTTTCTTCTCTAATTTCTTGTTAACAACGTGTGAAGAAGTTATATATTTGGTTTGATTAATTATCAGACTGATAAGCTTGTAATTCATTTATCGGCCACAAATTAAAGTTTTAGTTTTCAGATGAAATTTCAAATATTGTTGAGCTGATTTTTTGATATGCAATGCTTGGCATGTAATAATGCTGTTTGTTGATGAACAAGAGCTGAAATAGAAAAATGAATTAAGCTTCACTAGAGGGGTGCAAACTTATAAAAGCAAGCACGGAATATTCAGTTTTGGTCTTGGGCTTTTAGCATTTGCCAGAAAGTAGCAATTACTTAAAGTTTAGCTTTCCATAAGTTATATTACTATTATTTTCTGGGCATTTATTAAATGTTATATCGTTCAGAAATATTTTAATTTTTAAAGAAGCTTTTCGTGATATTAAATGTTAGAAGTTAGGAAAAAAAGAGCGGAGTGCTTACTTTTTTAGCTCTCTTTTTATTATGCAGGAGCGTTTTATCAGTGTGCAAATGCACTGGCAGCTCATTTCAGTGCTTTGTATTGTT